AGAGCCATTATCACTACGAATGGCTCGAAGAGCACTAGGAAACTCCAAAGCCAAACTACGAGCAAGAGACTGAAAGAAGCCAAACGTTTCCTCTTTTGATTCAAGAAAATAGACCCAAGAGTAGCGAGAGAAATCATCCACAACAACCAAGACATACCACTTCCCCCCAACTGACTGGACCTGAGCAGGACCAACCGTATCCATGTGAAGCAGTTGTCCCGGTCCATCTGTCATAACCATTGTAACAGGCTTGTGGGAGGAAGATGTCATTTTCCCATGACGACATGGTGCACACACAAGATCTTTCGGAGCTTTCAACTTAGGCAAACCCCGAATCAAATCCATACCACTATTGCGAGACAAGTGGTCAAAGCCAATATGACCAAGACGACGATGCCAGAAAAACAAATCCCTATTCTCTGAGGCAATGAAACAACGAGAAGGACCAGGAGCAGAAGAGTCAAAGTTAGCAAAGAAAACTCGACCAACTTGAGAAATGTTAAAAACAGGAGATTCAGAAGCATCAAGAACTCGAGACCTATCCTTTTTGAAACGAACTTCTAGATTTTCATCACAGAGTTGTGAAACAGAGAGCAAATTGTACTTAAGCTTACTTACAAGCGCGACATCCTTCAGCATGAATTTGTCATTGACCTTGATTGTTCCTTTAGCCATCATGCGTCCACTGCTCGCATCCCCAAAAGTGATGGTCTCATCACCGGATGCACGAGTGAGAGAAGTAAACCACTTGGCTTCACCGGTCATGTGGCGTGAGCAACCGGAGTCCACAAGCCAAGAATTACTTCTCCCCACTCCAAAATCCTACAAGAAAAACAAAGCAAATCTCGATGATTCAGTACTGGGGTTAGTGAGAAATGACTTAGGAATCCAGTACTGAACCATGCGAGGGGTACAAGCATCTTTAGTGTTATGAGCAGAATTATATGCAAGATGACCATGTCTGTTTTGCCCCAACCTTGCTAGGTCACGTCGAGGGTGCACATCTCGGCGAGGAAAGCGAGATACACCACTTGAACGACATGCACACTTGAACCTCTCAGGGACTCTAGTATCTCTTCTAGTCCTAAAACGTTCTTGTCGCTCTTTTCTAGCCTTTCTAAAGCAGAAACCTACCAAATGACCAGCTTTCCCACAATAGGTGCACTCATACTTGGTTTTCTCTACAGGCTTGGTTTGTTTCTGGTTTTGCTTGTGCTCAACTTGTTTTGGATTTTTGGGTCTAGGTAACTCTACAGGCTTAGACTTGCTAGTCATAGGTACCATCTTTGGTTCTGAGGTTTTGGGTGAACTAGAACTAGTGTTTCCAATGAAACCTGCAGACTTGAAGGTTATAGGCTTTTGAGCTAGTTCTATCATCCCATCTGTGACACCTAATATCTCATGGGTACCTATCCTCAAAGACTCATCAAAATCATAGCCTATACCTTGATTGTTTATGGACACTTTGGATTAGTCTAGGATCATGTTCAACTTTTTCTTTCCTTGAGCAAACCTCTCTAAAGATTGTTGTAGGTAAAAGTTCTCTCTCTTAGCAGACTCAAGATCAACTTTCAGAGAAATGCATGATGAACAAGAATCAATAGATTTGATAGAATCAATGACAGTTTTAGCATCTTTTAGTTCAGTTTCCAGGATAGCACAATTAGCACATGAAGAATGAATAGGTTCCTTAGTAGCAAAAGATTCTAACAAATCATTCTTGGTCCTAAGCATGGCAACTTGTTGTCTTAATTCATCATTGTCACTAGTGAGAATGGGACAATTTTCACACCTACCAATCCTATCATGAAATTTTTTTTCTTTTAGTTCTTTCAATTCCATCTCAAGCAAACCCATATCAACTTTCATTTCATAGCAAGTAGAGCAAGCAACACTAGCACTAGAAGGATTCCCAGCTCCTAAAGCACATGATTTCAACTTATCCTTGAGGAGATTAATTTCAGAGAGATATGAAGCACAAGTAGAACAGGTATCCTCCTCAGGAATCATGGATCGAAGCCTAGCAATTTCTAGCGCCATACCATCATTTTCAGATTTTAGTTTCTCAATTTTATACTTAGAAGACCTATACTTGTCACTAATTTCAATCATCAAGTGTGCCATTCTTTCTTTGCTTAGTTCATCATCAACAGAGTCATTATCTGAGCAAAAATCATCACAAAGAGAACCATCCAAGGAAGGGATATCATCAAGACATACCTCAGGATGCTCCGATGAGTCATCCTTATCCTCAAGTGCCATGAGACACAGGTTGATGAAGTCCTCGTTGTTGGCGAGACAGCACATCCCGGAGAAGTCCTTGTCCCCCTTTTCTTGATCATCGTCGTCGGAGTCGATGTCGCTAAGCTGCACCTCCTCAAGAGCCGCCAAGACCTTATGGATCGCCTTCTTCATCAAATCCTTATTCCCCTTTCGCCCTTGTCCCTCGGGCTTCTTGGTCGTCTTGTCACTCTTCTTCTTCAACTTGGGACAATTCACTCTTATGTGGTTAGGCTCTCCACACTCAAAACACACAAATGGTTCATTGGTTTTTCCTCTTTTTCTATCTCTCACATTTTTGTAAGCTCTTGAGAATTTTCTAGCAAAAAGAGCAAGATCCTCTTCAGGAATCTTCTCTAATTGCTCCTCAGTGACTGAGTGTAAAGCGGCAAGAGAGAAGCCACCACACACAAAAGCTGAGTCATTAGAAGAAGTACTACCAGAGGGATCAGCTACCAAAGCCATCGAGTGTTTGAGGCCTTTCCGATGGAAAATATCCATCTCATGGGTTTTTAGCTTTGAGTAAAGCTTGTCCATGGTAAGGTCACTCAGAGGTGCACTCTCTGTGATGGAAGTAACTTTCATTTCCCAAACACCATAATCAAGACAATTCAAAAGATGGCGAGCATTATCATTATTAGAAAATTCTTTTCCAACAGATCTCAACTTCGAAACAATTTCTCCAAAACGCTTGAAATAAGAATCAATGGACTCTCCTGGGTGCATCTCAAATCTTTGATATTCTTTATGAAATTGATTCTGACGAACCAATTGAATATCATTGTTTCCCTTATGGAAATTGCACAGAGCAGTCCACATGTCATGAGCGGACTTGTGGTGTTGAACACAATTAAATTCACCAGAAGAAATTCCACCAATGATTGCATTTCTTGCACGATAATTAAAATCAACCTGAGCCACATTTGCAGGCGTGATGTCAGCATCATCGGGCACAGTGTAAGGTGATTTAACCTTATTCCACACATTATGCCCTTGCGACTGGAGGTAGGCCTCCATTCGTGCCTTCCAAATGACAAAATTGTGTCCATCGAAAACAAATGGTTTCGCAGAATATTTTTCCTCCATAGCGGCGTTCGTTGCCACGGTTAGGTTACAATGAACTTAACCTTGCTCTCATACCAATTGAAAGACCAAGAACAGCTATAGAGGGGGGGTGAATATAGCAATTCAAATCTTGCCCCCGAAAATACTCATCAAGCCGGATTTCTCAAAAATCCTTACTAGAACCGCGGCTATTAGAGAAGCCGGATCTAGAAAAGAAGAGAGAAAGAAATTCCCGAAACTAGAAGAGAAAGAGAAAAGGAATTTCCCAAACTAGAAGAGAGGTGAGGAGGAGATAACAAAACTCATCATCGCAAAGTTCAAATTGCAAGTAGAATTTAAATTGCGGAATTTAAATGAACAAGGCAAAAACGAAATCCTTCAAATCATTTCATTCATAGGTGATGCAAAATAACCGCTCAACTAGGGGCAAACATACACCTTCAGAGGAACATTAACACAAAATTAAAATCTCTCGGACAAACACACTCCAAACTAATCCTAATACAAAAGCCTCTCGAGCAAACACACTCCAAACTCACACCGAAACTCTCTCACCGAGCATCTCAAAAGGATTACAAAAGGAGCAACCTCCACCCTTGCATCCATCTCTCTATTTATAGCCTAAGACCCCTAAGACATTGTCTCAAATATCCCTAGGGCGAAACCCTAGCCTTGATGTAATCCTGGCTGTCCATTGTTCCTTAGATCCGAAGGAAGCCTCCTGGATAGTCGCCACGTTGTTGATCCGAGCTCTCCACGTTGCGCGCCCTCGTGCGATCCGCGTGATTCCACTCCAAGCCAATCAGCGTGCACCGATCCGCGTCGTGCTCCTCCAAGCCAACGCATCCGCGCCACGCGTCCCAGAGAGCGCGTGCCTGCTCCTCTCACGCCTGCGCACCACCAGTCCGAAGCCGCCACGTCGCCGTTCCTCCCACCGAGCCGCTTCTGCGCGCGCTCGCGAAAACCATGTTCCCGCGCGCACCATGCGAAAAACCGCGTGGGACCCGGTCGCTTCCTTGACGAACAGAAGGCCGCCACGCCTCCAGGTGCCGTACGATCTCCCGCTTCCGCGCGCGCATGCACACACCTGTGCATTTGCTGAGCCGAGCTGGGCCATCGTCATGTCTAGGGCTTGCTCGGCCTAGCCTTCACCATCTTGAGTCAGCAACGTGCTTAGGCCGGGTTGGCTCGGCCTTCCTGCCAACCGAACTGCCAGCCCACAAGCCTAGTGGCCAGCTCCTGTTGGTCTCCTTGCCATTCAATCATGGCAGCACACGTGCACATGATACATGCTAGCTACAGTAAGCCGAATTACTGTAGCAGCAATGCACTCGGTCTTCATGTCCTTGCACAGTCCTCTTCTCCTTCCAATTTTCTTCGCGAATCCGATGCTTGCACACTTGACCTTGTGAAGCCCGTTGCAAAGACCTCCTCACACGGTGTCCGCCCACCGTGTGCAACCTTGTGTCCAATCTTGTCACCCGGCATCCTTGATCGTTCTGGACCTCAACTTCTCCCTGAGTCTAGTCCCGATCCGCCGTTGACTAAGATTGACTCTGATCACCTGCACACACATGAGCCAAACAACCGTTGTCTTGGCACAGATATCGCAACCTGACCAATGGTAGTCTACGCACACACTTCTTGCACTTCCGGTACTTGTCAATTTCCCATCACAAAAGAACTATAACCACACATGGTTTCACACTGGCGCAGACTCATCGCCGACAACGAGCACCGAAAGAAGCTGCCGCAGACGCTGTCGGGCTTCTTCTACGAGAGCATGAACCACGAGCGCTGCCCGTACACGGCGCGCCATTTCACCAACGTCACCGGGAAAGGCATGCCTCTCGTCAGCCCGACCTTCTCCTTCCTGCCCCAGTGCCACGACGTCGACCTCTTGGATTGCTGCAATGGCCTCCTCCTCTGCCGCTGCTACGTGTCTCGTGGCACTTTTCAGTTCCACTATGCCGTGTGCAATCCTGCCACCAAGGAATGGGTGATGTTGCCGGACGCCAACTGGGCTATCGAAGAGAACCACACCGCCTGCTTGTGTTTCGATCCAGCCATCTCGTCGCATTTCCATGTGCTTGAGTATGTGGAAGAGGATGAGGATTCATACGTCACACTGGTCACAGGGGTGGAGATCTATTCGTCTGAAACTGGGTTATGGACTCTCCATGAAAATGGATGGAATGATGAAGTTGTGATTAGCCTTTCGGTCAATCGAAGAAGTGTTTTGCTCAATGGTTTTCTGCACTCTGTCACGCCTGCTGATGAGATTGTGGCGGTTGACATAGAGGGGAAGAAATGGAGGAAGATTCCTATGCCGGATCCTGATGGTGATATTGGGATAATTCATCAAACTCAGGGTCGCCTGTGTGCTTTTAATGTTGATCCAAATGATATCTTCAAACTGTCAATTTGGTTTCTTCAAGACTATGATACAGATAATTGGATCTTAAAGCATACCGTTGGCTCAATGAAGCTGTTTGGAGGAAAGAAATACCAATTAGATTATGACTACCAAGTAATTGCAGTTCATCCAGAATGCAATTTGATCTTCTTTGTTTATGGATGGCACAATACTTTGATGGCATATGAAATGGATCGCAAGGAAGTCCGTGTCATACGCAAACTCGGACATGAGTCCTGCCAGTCATATCTACCATATGTTCCAATGTTCTCTGAGTCATTACCTAATGGGCGGTAACTGCTAACATGCAGAGGTGCGGCTCCACTTTTGTTATTGCAAAACCGTCTTTGTACCCTAATGAGAATCGGGCTTAGAGTGGGCAGCCAATCTCTAATATGAATTATGAAGTTCTGTTTGTAGTACTTGGATGATGGCTCCTTTGTTATGAAGAATGTTGTGAAATCCTAGATGGTACGTAAGTTGGCCTTTTGGAAGGTATGTCCGGTTGTTCCGAAGGTTATGTCTTGTTTTATTCCGCTGGTGTTTACCGTAGGCTAGTTAAAATTTATGTCCTGTGTTAACATGACAGGCCTTTTGACTGTACCAGCAGAGTCAGTTTATGGAACCGTGACTAATGTTTGGAAGTTGGATCACATGTACTTTGTTGATTTTTGCCTTCCTTTTTCCCTTTTCTTCATTCTGAACTATACTTGTCTATGTTACATCCATGCAGCTTAATGTCTCCTAGATCATTTCCACTCGTTTTGTTAAGTGATCCACAATGATCATTAATTGGAACATTGCTTCTCTGACCCTTACTAGTTGGAGAAGAAGAGAGTGCAAACAAGAGCACATACAATTGTGCACCAACAAGAAACTACACAACATTTTAGACTTCAAAGGTAACAAAGACTGGTATACAATAGTTATACTATTACCACACTGGCTTCCTCCGATGGGCACCGTTCTGAATTTTCCCACTTACCTGCTTCAAGCCATGATAAAAACTACTGCCACTTTGAGCTCCTCAAGTTCCGACATGTATAAATCAACTATGGTATGAATTTTCTTCTTCTTTTCAATTATCTCTGTTCTAAATTACTGCCAAAGTGACCAAGCCTCCCTAAAATCATTGTGGTTTTGAGACCTGGTAGTTCCATATAGTTCTCCACTTTCTTTCAGTCCTGTTCTGAGAAAGAGCAATGGAAGTTCTCAGAAGAATAAGAAGAGAAAGAGCAATGAATATTCTTTTGGCCCCATAAGTCCTTGTTCGGTTGCTTGGGAATTAATCCCCAAAGGAACCTATCCAGGGTCCCTCCCATCTCACTTAAACCCTGTGGGGGATGATTCCCTTTGCCTCTCCTAATCCCTCTCCTAAAACCTGTGTTCGGTTTTGGCCAGGTTTTAGTGCTCGTCAGACGTCAGGCATACCTCCTGGGATCTGGAACCTTCCAAAACTGCAGTACTTGTTCTTGTACACCAACCAGCTCACCGGCGACGTCGTCGTCAATGGCAAGATTGGAGCAGCAAGCTTAATTTATCTGGACATATCTGAGAACCAGCTTACTGGAACGATCCCAGAGAGCTTTGGAAGTTTGATGAACCTAACTAACTTAGTCCTGATGGCGAACAACTTCTCCGGCGAGATACGAGCAAGCCTTGCTCAGCTTCCATCGCTGGTGATAATGAAGCTGTTCGAGAACAATCTCTCCGGCCAGCTTCCGGCGGAGCTCGGCAAGCACTCACCATTTCTGAGAGACATCGAGGTCGACAACAACGACCTCACCGAGCCGGGGGTCTGCGACAACTTCATTATCACAGGGGAGTTGGGAAGAGAGGAGGGTGAGAATGACATGTGGGGCCCACGTGGGTCCTACCATTTTTAATCTAATTTTTTTTGTGTAAACTGACATGTGGGTCTACAATTTTTAATATTTTCCAAATCGATTTGACACGTAAGCGCCATGTCATTGCCACGTCATGTGAAGGCCGAGTCAAAATAGCCACGTAGGCATCACGTCAGCGAAAACCGCCGTTCAAACCGCTATGGGACCTATATTGCATCGGTTTTGACAGTTAAGGGACCGTTGTATATGGTTTTTCGGTTAAAGGATGAAATCGGATTCGTTGTTAAGGGACCACAGATAAACTTATTTCCCCTGTAATTTGAGAGTTAGTCAAAAACGAGTAACCCAGCCCATGTAACTCCCGTGGTTGAGTTTTGTCTGTCAAACTAGGAATAAGTTCACTTTGGGTCCCTCAATTTGTCGCCTAGTCTGATTTTGTTGCTTGGTCGCAAAACCGGATATGTGTAACGCTCCGCTTCTCGTGAGACGTTAAAAACTAATTCGGCAAAATCCGAATTGCGAAAATTTCGTTCTTTGTGTGCGAGTCTAAGTCGTGCCGTGGATCTCAGTTTTAATCTCCTTGTTCCCTCTCGTCACTGTCAAAACCCTCCACCTCAAGATTTCAAATCCCGATTTAACTTCCTAGATCAATTCCGAAATTCAAATCCTTCCTTTGAATCCTCGCCAAATACATTTCCGAATCCCAAAATATCCAAACTCCCGTTTTGTTTCCTTCCTTGACTCCTTGAACCCTTGTGTACAAAGTATCAAATTTAGATTCAAAACCCAAACTCCAAATCTCTCCAAATCAAAATCTTTCAGAAAAAGTCTATTTTGCCTCCCTTGTCGATGGGTTGATTCCTCTCTCCCGGCCCATCCCCTCCTCTCGGCCCAGCTCTCTCGCGCGTGCGTCGCACGTGTTCGGGAGCGAGAGACAGCGCCGTCTCCTTTCTCTCTCTCTCTCTCTCGGCGTCGCTTCCCGCCGACGCCGCCCCAAAATTCCGGCCGCGTCACCGTTTTCCGCGCGCTCGCGCATGGCCGACCGGCAAGGACGCCGCTCCCACCGCCTTCGCCTTTCCCGCGCGCGCTCGCGTGGAGGCCGACCACCCGGTCGTCGCCTGCCTCGCGTGACCGCCTTTCCGCGACTCGCCTGCCCGCCGCCCAAAACGGAAGGGACGAGTTCCCCTTTCCACCGCCCTCTTCGCCTTTTTTCCCCCTCGGGCTCAACCGCTCGCTCTCTCGCCCTTGTCCGTGTCACGCCCAGAAATTTAGCCCAAATTTCCAGACTATTTTGTGTATTAAATCCCTGTCCAGGACCAGCCAGGGTACACAAAACGACAAGTAATATACAGTTCCAAACGTAAATAAAGCGTAAAATACTTACAAAAGAGGCACTTAGTCCTCGCACCGAAACAAAAGCAGCAGCAGCGGAAAAAGGCGATCCTAGCGGGGCTTCAGCTCCACTCCACAGGCAAAACTCAACTGGGGTCTGAGCCTTGGTCCTCTAACTTCGTCTTCAGCTCAGAAGCACTACACTTCTGAAAAGGGGGAATAATAGCAAGGCTGAGTACAACCACCGTACTCAGCAAGCCACACCAACGATGCAGACGTGCAAGGGGAACACAAGGACGGTTTGTGGCTATTTGCATAAAGGCGGTTGTAAAACATTTTATTGAGCAAAACAGTAAAACAGTTGAGTAATTAAAGTAACATTAAATCTCCACTGATCAACGCTACACCACGTTGAACAGGCCCAACCAACCCACCTAAACTACAGTGTATTAGGTCGATTTATTGAGGTGGGACTAATCACGGTGAATCTGGTCGACCGCCCATAACCGCGGGCACGGCTATTCGAATAGTTTTACTCTGATCAGAGGTGTACAACTGTACCCACAAGACACAGCCCCACGACACGTTTCCGTGCGCCGACATGCCACCACGACATACCGGAAAGAGGCCGTGACAGGACCCTTCGCATAACCCCCTCTAGCCAAGCACACCACACCTCAGGTTTCACCCCCGTCCCCAGCGGGCAACGGGCAGTCCCCTCTCGTGCCTAGGTGAATCCGGAAGCGACAGAGGCCGTCGCAGGGCCCGCCCCGCTCCATCACGCCCACCCTTGCCTGGATGCGTCGACTAGAGGAAAGCTACACTACAAGCCCAGCCGTTGCCCACGCTGGCTTGTGGTAAGTACGATAAGTTCTTCCAGGGCATCCCGCGAACCGGTCCTTAACTGCCATGGGTGCGACCAGCAAAACCATGCACCCACAGCCCACCATGTAGTCGCATTTTAGTTGGATAATTACGACCATGAAGCATGGCCAGGTGTCTCGAGCACACAGCTCAATCTGATACTAAAAAGGTCTAATACTGTAATTACCCCATCAACTGAGCTAGTAGTAATTAAGCATGGCTAAGCATATAGTTCTAGCTAGGTCACATAAGTAACATGAGCTAGTCGATTTATTACCCAAGGTTGACAAAGAACAGATATCAAGTAAACATGGCACAAGCGAGCAGATAGGTAAACCCTGATCCCGTGTAATTAGCAAAACATGCATATTTATTTGCAAACGGTAAAACATTTGTAAATTAGGATCAACATGCTCAAGGGGAATGTGTGACTTGCCTTGCTTCTTCACTTTGATCTTCCGAACTCTTTTCCTCGCGACCGCGGACTTCCGAAACGACGGAAACTACACGCTGGCACGCAAAACGAGGAAAAACTCTAATAAAAACCAAGGAAACAGTACATAAAAAGTAAACAAACATGTAGAGCTCAATTTTAGATGAATTTTGCAAGTTGAACAGCTCAATTCGGAGTTCGAATGAATTAGATATGGATTTTAGAAGTTTTGAGCCATTTTAATGAATTTCTAGAATTAAACTCGATTTATTGCGCAATTATTATTTATTTTTACAAAGGAAATGGACCTCGCTGACGTCAGCAAGGGGAAACCAGCGCCGACAGGCGGGCCCCGCACGTCAGCGGCACAAAGGGGCGGCGCACGGTGGACCAAGTCCACACGTGGCCTCGGGTGCGCGTCCACCACGTGGATGGCCCAGATCGGCCCGAAGCCGATCGGACGGCCACGAGGCGGCGCGGCTAGGGCACGGGCACGGCATGAAACCGGCTCGGCCGAGCGATAGCGCGCGGCGGCGTGCGGCCAGACGACCGCCGGCGACAGCGGCGCGTCGCGGCAGCGGGCACGGGGAGCGGCGGAGGAGGAAAAAAAGGAGAAGGGACGGTGGGGATTCTCACCGAGGACGGCGACGGCGAGACGACCACAGGGAGGCGGCTGGCGGCGGAAAGAGATGGTGAACGCGGCGGCGGCGTTCCAGGGGCAGGGAGGGGAAACGGAGTAGGGGCCGGGGTGCGGCGAGGAACGGCGATGCCGATGGCGGTGGTAGCGCAGCGCGGCAGCGACGGGAGCGGTGGTGGCGCGCGACTGGAGGTGACGAAAGGCGGCTGTGGCTCGGTGCACGGTGGGAATGGTGCTGCGGGGGTGGAAGGGGAGGACGGAGTGGATGCCGGGGTGCGGCACGACGCGGCGAAGCCGTTGGAGGCAAAAGCACGGCCGGGCGAGGCGGCGCTCGCCGGCGGGGAGCGGATGGAGGCGGCTAAAGGCGAAGGTGGCTCGGGGTGGCGGTGGAAGCGGCGTTGCGGCGGTGGATTGGCGAAGAGGAGCGGTGGACGGGGTGCGCACGGCGACTGCGGTGCCGGGGAGGGCGACGGCGCAGTGCGGGGCGGACGGGAGCGGCGGCGCGGCGCTGCTGGAGTTCGCCGGAGAGCGGCGGTGCGTGGGCTCGGCGCGGGGAGAGCGAGGGAGGGCGCGGCGGCTTGGGGAAAATGGGGAAAATGGATGAGGGGAGCACGGGGATGCCTTTTTATGGGCTCGGGAAGGCGGGATCGAGGCCGGACGTGGCGGAATCGGCCGGCGAAGTGGGGCGCCGACGTGGGGTGGTGGAGGGGTTAACCGGCGCCGATTTTCGCGGGGAGAGTGGGGGAAATGGTGGAGGACGTGGAGGGGATCGTGCCCACGTCGTTGGATGCGAGCTCGGGTGCGGGAGGGCGCCGGATTTTGCGGCGACGTGGACGGCTATGGCGGTTGGGATCGGCCGGCGAGAGGTAGGAGGAGGAGCTGACGGGTGGGACCGCCGGTCCCACCTGTCGGCGAAGGGAGAGAAGGAGGGACGCAAAACAGACTTTTGCGAGCGGGCCAAGAGAGAGGGGAGCCGGCCCGAGAGAGGGAGAAGGCGCGCGGGCCGCGGGAGAGGAAAGAAGACTTGGGCCGAAAATGGCCCAAAGAGAGGAAGGGGGAAATTTTATTTGTTTTCTTTTTATTTTATTTGATGCAATGATCTTTGTGTTATTGAAACTATTTCTCGAGCTCCGAAAATTCACGGAAAATTCCGGAGAGTACATTAGGGCACAAAGAATATTACAAAATATTCCCGGCCAATGATTTTTAAGGGAAAAATTTTAATTCTCCCATTATTTCACTTGATTAAATTGCTTTAACTTTTATTTAATTTCCAGAAAATGTATTATTAAATGATTTTTAATCCCGAACGAAAATCGGGGCGTTACAGTCCGCTTGCGCTCGAAGGCAGAGCCGCTGACGGCAGCCGTCAGCTCGCCGCCCCCACCTTGACCCAGCGCCAGCTCGCCCCGCGCCAGCCGGCGCTGCTCCTCCCGCTCCCGCGGTTCAATTTCCGCCGCACGATCCACCGCCTTCGCCGCCCAATGCATCCACGTCGTCGCCGCTTTCGCATCGCCCACGAAAACGCCGCTGTCGCCAGCCGAGCGCCTCTTCGCCTATAAAATCCCAACCCCACGCCCACAATCCTTTCCCCCTTCGCCCCGTGCTCCTTGGAACGAAGTACTACCCCCGCCTCCTTCGTCGCCACGGCCAAGAACGCCGCACCGACACCAAGCCGTTCCACCCCGTGTCCCCTCCTTCCTCGGAGCGCCCGCCTCGGCGTCGCGTTCGCCACCGTGCGCCGCCGCTCGGCCAAGCGCCGCCAACGGAGTCCCTCGCGCCCCTCCTTGCTTTCCCGGCCGCGCCATCTCCGCGCCGTGCCGCCCAGCCGTCGCGTCTGCCTCGCCGCGACTCCATCCGCCCCGCCGTTCCCGCTCGTGGGTGAGCTCCCCGCCCAAATCCTCTCGTCTATATCCTCTAGCGACTCCTAAACAGCACTGGGGCATGGTAGTTTGTGCGTTCGTCCTCCAAATCGCGCCCTTGCCGATGCTTTGCTTCCGCCGCCGCCCGCGCGCCGCCGGTCGGTCCCGCGCCGAATCCCCTCGCCGCCACCCACCTTGAGCTCCAATGAACCACCCCAAACCGCCAATTCCGCCGCCGGCCTCCTCTTTTGCTCCCGCGCCATGCCACCCATCCCGCCGTCGCACGGCCTCCGTCGCGCCTCCTCTCCCACATCCGAGCCGGTGGATGGAACCTCCGTGACCCCCTCTCGCTTCCGGTGCCCGCCGCCCACTCCGGTTTGCCACCGTTCGCCGGATTCCGCCGCGCGCCGTCAGCCGTCCGATGCGCCGCCAGCCTCCTCTCCCTCCCCATCCGACGTGGCAGCCACATCGGCTTGACCAAGTCAAGCTGACCGGTCGCGCCTGCCCCGTCAGCGCCCAGTCAGCCACCCCCTCCTCTCTCTCCCGTGCTTGTGGGCTTGGCCCATCGGCCACCCTCCTCCTCGGCCTGATAAGAGAAAGGAAGTCCATTATAACTCCCTCCCCAAACACAGTGACCAAAAGTCTATATCTGCTCCCTCCCAATTCACCTCTCTCTCGCCATATGTTGGCCCCCACATGTCAATGAGTGATAAAAGAATATTCTTGAGAATGTTCTTTTCCAGAAAATTCAATAAATCCTTTTTCCCTTGTTCCCTAAATCAATTCTTTATTCTAGAATTGCAATAAATCATTTCTCATATTCCGGAAAATCCAATTAAACTTCGAAAATCCATATCTTTTGAACCGCTCATCCGATTTACTTCGTTCAACTTCCAGTAATTTCGTAAAATTGAGATCTATTCAATGGCACTATTATTTAGTCTAAATAGGGTCTTTTTCTTGGTCTTTTGTTTAGGTTTTTGTTTGTTTGCGTATAGTTGCGGTTACCAGATTTTCGTCGATCGCGGGTTTTCTCGAAGATTCGTGAAGCTCCGTGAAGACCTTGAGCAAGGCAAGTCTCCCTTTGACCAATTGCTCCTATAATTGGAAAATCATTATTATTTTGTTTGTAACTTGCATTATTAGAATCACACACTTAATTTGCTTGGCCTCGGTTTGCGTGCCAAACCGACGGACCTACCTAGTAGTTGCACTAATTCCTGTAGGTTGTACTATCCAGATTCCTTGTCGCTCCACCTTTGCGGTACTTCAGTATCCATGCTCTCTGAGCGCGTATACCAAATATCCCACATACACCGTTGATTGTCGAAAAATTGTGAATGGGTTTGAGAAGCCTTGAAAACCCGACATGTGGTGTCGGTGTGTTTAAAAATAAAATGAATTGTGAAAACTCGCGATGCGGGGGTTGTGCCTGCGTGGCACTGTTCCGTATTCACATATAAGGACCGATTCCTGTGGGAAATTCATCAAGCATAACAAAGTGCAACCACAAGGTGGAATGGGACACCCTAGCTAAGTAACTAGTCGGTTCAGGGAAACCTCGCATGCCAATAGTTGGGGAACGCCGAGGCGGGGTCGGTTGGAGCCAACCCGGGTTCCTGGTAAGGCAAGAACGCGAAGCTTGCCAGATTACCGATCGAGGTGGTTGGAGTTTGATTTGCGAAAACTGAAATGGCCTATATTTATGTGAAGGATTTTATCCTTCTATGTGGCATGAGGTAACCCTGGGTCGGCTTGGGAAAGGCTTTGTTGCGAACCTCCGATACCGACGGGTGTTCGGAATAAGTTCGTATCTTGTGGGTAAAGTGTACCCCTCTGCAGAGGTTAACTAACTGTTCGAACAGCCGTGCCCACGGTCATGGGCGGATGTGAGGTGGTTCTCGTTGCGTAGATTTGTTTGCCTGTGCTTTGTGAAAAGTTATTGTGGATTGGGAATCGTAACCAGAATCAGCCTATGTGGCAGATGGATGACTCGAGTGGTCGGAAACGAATCTGTGTGATTCGGGATGTCTACGGGCATCATAGACTAGGCCTCCCGAGTGGAAGCGGATTGTTGTGCTGCTAGGCAGCTGGACTCTGGGAGTCTGAGAAAATGAAAAAGGCTCTGGGAGCCGCTTAATCAAGTGAAATGGTTCTGGGAGCCGAGAAGTAATGATCTGACCTGGGAGGTCGGTACATTACCAATTGAGCTGTTGAAAAGCATCTCTTAAGTTGAATCGAGACGCAAGTCTCTTTTTGACCCAAACCTAAAAAGAAATTAATCACCTAGCGATTTCAAAATGATTTCAAACAAAGGATTTGCAAAACAACCTTGCCTCTCTTCCAAGCTTACATTAAACACCTAAATTCCCGTGACTTGCTGAGTACGGAAGTACTCACCCTTGCTCTATATAAATATTTATAGTTCCTCCGCCTTGAAGAGAAGATGATGTGAAGTGAAGAATAGGGTTTCGTCCTGGTTCCCAGCCGTCGCCTGTGGTGTTGGGTGTTAGTCCGTTGGTTCCGCTGCTGCTGCTGTTGTTGGTGTTTCCTCGTCTGTGTCGTCGGTTGCATTTCTCAGGCTGTTTTGAGCTGCAACCTAAGTTAAGGTAAATAAGTCCTCTATTTATTTTAAGGATTGCAATGATTCATATTTGTCACCGTGGGTACCAGTACTATGTCCTGGGACTGGTACTGTGATCGCGGTTTCGTAGGAAGCGGTTCGCGCCGTTTTTCCTACGACACGCTCCTGTCAGGTGCCGTTGTACGGCGGTACCGGATTGGGGTGTGACAATACGACAGGTCCCCCAACTTACGAAACCGTTTAAATAAGGTCCCTCGGCAGTATTGTGTCCGGTTTTAGCTAAGGTGGCGCATACGTGGCTCATTTTGACTAGGTCTTTGTCCGACGTGTCATTAACATGGCGCTTACGTGGCAATTAGATTCGCAAAAAATAATAAAACCCGTGGGACCCACATATCAGTTGCACACACAAATAATAAAAAATGGTGGGCCCATGTGGACCCACACGTCATCCTCGATACCCCCTTGTAGCCCGCTCCGGCCGCCGCCCAACCCGCTTCGCCAGCCGGCCACTGCCTACTCCGCCGGAGAGAGAGAGGAGGGGAAGAGAGGATAGAGGATGACGTATGGGTCCACATGGGCCCACCATTTTTTATTATTTATATGTGCAACTGACTTATGGGTCCCATAGATTTTATTATTTTTTTTTGATCTAATTGTCACATAATCGCCACGTCAATGAAACGTTGGACAAAGACCTAGTCAAAATTAGCCACGTAGGCACCACCTCAGCCAAAACTGGGCACAATACTGCTGAGGGACCTTATTTAAACGGCTTCGTAAGTTGGAGAACCTGTCGTACCCGGTTTTGCGATGAAGGGATGAAAATTGGATTGGGCGATAAATAGAGGGACCCAAAGTGAACTTATTCCTTCAAACTAAGGCCCGACCGCCCGATTCAAGTGGAATTTGGAGAGTCTTTTACCCCTATGCCATTAAGAAAGTTGGAGGTTACGCGTGTGCCACGAAAAAGTTTTGAGTCACCTGTATGCCATGACGCAAACTTTCGTTTACCCGCGTGCCATTCCATCCACCTTCTGTTAGAGAATGAGCTCTGACATGTGGGACCCACGTATGAAAATGACTAAATTGCCCCTGAAGCATTTTCATCTCTACTACTCCTCTCCCGTGCCCTAGCCTAGCCGCCGTCGCCGGCACGCCGCCACTGCCACCTCGCCTCGCCGGCACGCCGTCCCCGCCGCCTCGCCTCGTCTATCCGGCGACGCGCCTCGTCTATCTGCCGCCGCCGCCTCGCCTCGTTTATCCGTCGCCGCCTCTCTAGTCGCCTCGCCTCGCTGGCACGCCGCCGCCGCCGCCGGTCGTCGCCGTCGCTGTTGGTCGTCGCCTCGCCGGCACGCCGCCTCGCCTCGTCTATCCGGCGGCGCGCCTCTAGCCGCCGCTGCCGGTCGTCGCCGCCGCCGGCACGCCGTCGCCGGCATGCCGCCGCCGCCGGTCGTCGGCGCCAATAACGTTGTCTTTCGGCGCTAATGGCGGCCCTTGCCGGCGTGCCATTAATGCTGATTCCATCCATTAGCAAGGGTAAAATAGATCTTTGAAACCTCCGTTTGTCTCCGTTAGTGCTGATTCCATCCAAAGTGGCGCATAGGCAAAAGAAAGTTTGTCTCATGCCAGGTAACTCAAAAGTTTTTTTTTGGAACACACGTAATCTCCAACTTTCTTAATGGCGTAGGGTGACTAGAATTTGGAACCAATGTCCCAGCAGACATTGAATTGGGGATTTTGGGGCATCTAGGGGTCTCGGCGCCGTCGCCGCCGCCGCCGCTTCTAGCTCTTCTTCTCCGTGACGGGCGCACATCGCAGCAGGGTAGCGGGCGCAATGGTTGGCCTTAACCGGCGAGGGCGCTAGGTTTGCCGTCCAGGTGTCCCGTCCGACGAGCTCCACACAGGTCAGCCGAGGCCGAGCGGCAAGTCACGCGCGCGGCAGCATCGCTCTTCCCTGCCTTGATCGGTAGGTTCCTGATCTCAGATTAGTTCGTTTAGTAGGTGGATTAACGAACCCATGATGTCGATTTGTAGCCAGATTTTTCTTTCTTCACCATTTTGATGTCTTGTTTGATTTAATCCCCATCTGCTCACCTGCTTGATCTGCTCTTGCCGCGGTGAATCCTTTTCCCGCGGTTGCAGGCTGACGACTTCCTCTCCTCCACCCCACCCCCGATGGAGGAGAACCTCCCCAGCAGGCGGCCAGCATCACCGACGAGCTCATCGTCGAGATCCTCCGCCGCCTCCCCGTCCGCTCCGTGTGCCGCTTCAAGTGCGTCAGCAAGTCATGGCGCAAACTCATCGCCGACCACGAGCACCGCAAGAAGCTGCCGCAGACGCTATCGGGCTTCTTCTACAAGAGCATCGACTACGAGCGCTGCCCGCACATGGCGCGCCATTTCACCAACGCCACTGGGAGAGGCATGCCTCTCGTCTGCCCGACCTTCTCCTTCCTGCCCCAGTGCCACCACGTCGTCATCTTGGATAGCTGCAATGGCCTCCTCCTCTGCCGCTGCCACGTGTCTCGTGAGACTTTGCAGTTCCAGTATGCTGTGTGCAATCCTGCGACCGGGGAATGTGTGATGTTGCCGGACGCCAACTGGGCTATTGACGAGAACCGCACCGCCTGCTTGTGTTTCGATCCAGCCATCTCGTCGCATTTCCATGTGCTCGAGTATGTGGAGGATGAAGAGTATGTGGAGGATGAAGATGAATACGACGCACTGGTCACAGGGGTGGTGATCTATTCGTCTAAAACTGGGTTATGGAGTCTCCATGTAAATGGATGGGATGATGAAGTTATGGTTAGCCTTCCGGTCGATCGGACAAGGGTTTTCCTTAATGGTTTTCTGCATTCTGTCACGACTTGCGATATTGTGGCTGTTGACATGGAGGGGAAGAAATGGAGGAAGATTCCCATGCCGGATCCTGATGGTGATATTGGGATAATTCATCAAACTCAGGGTCGCTTGTGTGCTTTTAATGTTGATCCAAATGATATCCTCGAACTGTCAATTTGGTTTCTTGAAGACTATGATACAGATAATTGGATCTTAAAGCACACCGTTAGCTCAATTAATCTGTTTGGACGAAAGAAATACCAATTAGATTTTGACTACCAAGTAATTGCAGTTCATCCAGAATGCAATTTGATCTTCTTTGTTTATGGATGGCACAATACTTTGATGGCGTATGAAATGGATCGCAAGGAAGTCCGTGTCATACGCAAACTCGGACATGAGTCATGCCTGCCATACCTACCATATGTTCCAATGTTCTCTGAGTCATTACCTGATGGGTGGTGCTAACATGCAGAGGTGCGGCTCCACTTATGTTATTGCAAAACCATCTTTGTACCGTAATGAGAATCAGGCTTAGGGTCAGCAGCCAATCTCTAATATGAATTATGAATTTCTGTTTTATCGTACTTGTGTGATGGCTCATTTGTGTTGTTTTGAAGAATGTTGTGAAATCATAGATGGCACGTAACTTGGCCTTTCGGAAGGTATGTCCTGTTCTGAAGGTTATGTCTTGTTTTTCACTGGTGTTTACCCTATGCCCTATGCTAGTTAAAATTTATGTCCTGTGTTAACAAGACATACCTTTTGATTGTACCAGCAGTCAGCTTATGGAACAGTGACAAATGCTTTGGAAGTTGGATCATATGTACTTCTTTTATTTCTGCCTTCTTTTCCCCTTTTGTTCTTTCTGAACTACTTGTCTGTGTTGCGGCAATGTGCCCATGCAGCTTATTGTCTCCTGGATCATTTCCACTCGTTTTTGTTTGGTCATCTATAATGCTCATTAATTTGGGCATTGCTTCCCCTGCCCTTACTTGCTGGAGAAGAAGAGAGTGCAAACAAGAGCACGTACAATGGTGCACCAACAAGAAACTGCAGAACATTCTAGAAATGAAAGATAACAAAGATGGGTAACCAAAAAGTGATAAAATAGTTAAACTATTCTGCACTGTCTTCCTTTTATGATCACCCTTCTGAAATTTCCCAATTACCTGCTGCAAACCATGATAAAAACTAGTATTATGTTCTTCTTAAGTTCCAACAAGTATCAATCACTTCAATTGTCTCCATTCTAAATTACTTCCACTTTGAATTCCTCTAAGTTACAACATGTTTAAATCAACAATGGCATAAATTTTGTTCTAATTCTCTTCAATTATCTCTGTTCTAAATTACTGTCAAAGTGACCAAGCCTCCCAATAATTATTGTGGTGTTGAGAGTTGAGACCTGGTAGTTACATCCGATTCTCCACTTCCTTTCAGACCCGCTGCGAGAAAGAGCAATGGATAATTGGATATTTTCTTTTGGCCACATGAAAGGGCGTATTAAACCATATTTGGGCATCCCCTGCAAAGAAAGCTATGCAAATCTAGCATTAGTTTTCAGTTGTCACCGTTTTCCCAAACTATTTCTGTGTTGTAGAGTAGTCGCAAATAAATTGTTCTCTGTAATTGAATTTAGTATGATATTTTCTCCAAACTTCCCGTTTGCTGTCAATGTCCAAACTATTATGACTTTGATCCCTTGCAGTAGAAAATAAGATAACGATGTTCTCTTTTGAAAATAAAACTCCCAGCAACAGCGATGTTTTGAAGCCTTTCAAGTTTCAACACATTATACATGTCATGGTAAGGTCAAAGATCAGCTAGTGTGGTGTGGTGGGGCCAATAGAACACGTCATCGGACAATTAACCTAATAATGCGACACCATCATCTGCATCCTTCCCAGTTCGCAGTGCTCGCCGGCATTCACACTTAGGGGTTCAGATGGTTGGCTGGTTGCTCCTCCTTCAAATTTCTATCGTTCCAACGACAAAAATGCAGTTGCAAAACCTGCAATTCATTGCATTTGCACTTGCACACCGTGATGTTTATCTGCAATACTCGTCACGATGATCTGCAGATGAGGCTGAGGCTCATCGAAGGAGGACACCGGCGGCGTTGAGCACTTGATGATGGCTGATGCCAGCTCTAACTGTTTGCAGATAACCAGGACGCATGTAACGTCATGCTAGGAACAACAGAAAACTTAATTGCGTCCAGGAACATTCGACGACATGGTCATAGTAAATACTGTTAGTATTCAGTGCACACCATGTGGTACAGATGTATATCATGTAGTACTACCTAGTTCTGCAGTAACATAGAATCTTCCATTGCTGCCAATCTATGAGTCAATATTTAGCACAACAATTAGGCTTCAGAAAGAAAGAACAAAAAAAACATTTTCCAGCAACAGCGCAGCAGCCTGATGATTTGACTAATACAACAAAACAAATCACGGCTACAATTCCATTTGCCAACCACCTTCTTAATTTCAAGCCCTTTGACTTGTGTGATCGCCCAAAGTACTTAAGCGAGAGATCGAGAGAGCCCATAACTACGGAGAAAGCTGAGAAAGAAACACGCACTAATCAAACAATCTCTTCTTCTTCTTCTTCTTCTTCTGTTCACAAGCAATCAGAAAAGAAGAGGACACGCCATGTCCCTTCTCGTCGTCTTGTTCTTCTTCTTCCTCTCGCCGCCGCTCGCCGCCGCCGCCGCCTACACGGAGTACTCGTGCAATGGCACCCGGGGCAACTTCACGGAGGGGAGCGCGTTCGGGCTCAACCTGGAGCTCCTCGCGGCGGAGCTCCCCGCCAACGCGTCGTCGTCGCGGTCGCTGTTCGCGTCGGCGGCCGTGGGCGCCGCCGCGGCGCCGGAGGACAGGGTGTTCGGCCTGGCGCTGTGCCGCGGCGACATGAGGGACGCCGCCGCGTGCGCGGGGTGCGTCTCCGGCGCGTTCCAGCGCCTCCGCGCGCTCTGCGGCCGGGACCGCGACGCGACGTACTACCACGACCTGTGCGTGGTGCGCTACTCCGGCGACGACTTCCTGTCGCGGCCGGACGACAACTCGCCGGTGATCAACGCGCTGGACGCGAACGCGTCCACCTACTACGGGTGGGACGGGCGGAACGCGACGACGCGGAGCTTCTTCCTGTCGCTGGTGGGGACGCTGTTCGGGGAGATGGCCATGTACGGGTCGTACAACTCGTCGGCGCGGCGGTACGCGAGCGCCGTGATGTATGTGAACCCGCAGCTGCCGACGGTGTACGGGCTGGCGCAGTGCACGCCGGACCTGTCGCCGGCGCAGTGCTGGCACTGCTTCCAGGGGCTCCAGGAGCAGAACCGGCAGTGGTACGACGGCCGGCAGGGCGGCCGGATCCTCGGCGTCCGGTGCAACTTCCGGTACGAGAGCTACCAGTTCTACGCCGGCACGCCGGACGTCAGGATCGGCCTGCAAGACGTCGCACCCTCACCAACCGCAAACAATGGTAACAACCAACACATATGCTACACACACGATCATTTCTTCTCCTCCGAATAAATTTGCTCAAAAGCTATAGTTGGAGCTTAACTACTATTGTTGTACGTTGTTATAAATGTTAAACTTTTGACCATATTGATTGTGTTTTTTTTTTGGAATTATTGGAGCTTAGATTGAAGGAAGGGTCCATATCAATTAAAACTTGCTAGTAGTAATTATTAATTTTGAATTTGGGGGTTACGTTTATATACTATTAATAAGAGATTTCATGATTGTCCAGCTTATATGCATGGTATTAATTTTAATGTCATCTTTTTATTTAACTCAAATTCTGAATACAATCTATGGCATGATAATATAATCCACCTAATCAACAACCAGATCTTTCATTTTAACATGAGAGATCTCATAGTGCTTAATTAGTATAAGGTGTAAACAGATAGATTTGTTACATAGGGGCTGTTCAGATTATATCATTTTCAATCATAATATTTTTTTCGGTAAAGTTACTTAAAAAATGCCTATATTTAGTTGTTGCCAAACATTGGTAAATATATAAAAAATCCTGCTAAAATTTTAGTAATATTGTCAACTTGCCAAAAATATCAAATTTTGGTAAAATTTATTTTGACTACGATCTGAACGCCCCATAAATTTGTTTGAATTGGCAAAGACAAATCATATTATTATTACTATTACTGTCATGTTTGGTTGTGAGCTCACAATGGTCAAATACGTAACCACTTAATGGTGGTGTTTTCTGTCAGTGCATTATCTTTTCTACAAATAACATTGAAACAATCTCTGTATGATCACTACTAATTTTCTTCTTTATTTATGCAGGAACCAACCACAGGAAGACCTTAGTTATCGTTCTATCCGTGTCAATCACGGTCTTCTGTTTCATGCTGGTCGGCTGCCTCCTACTGATAAAAAAACTACGGAAAGGAGACGGTAACAACACGATGCCACTAACTCCCTCTCATAATGAACATCATTTTCTCCCTCCATTTCAGCATCACAAAGTTCTTAATTAATCAACCAAACCACAAATGTCCAATCCATCATTGATCACAGGGAGGAAGTCGAATCGGCAGCTGGAAGCACATTCCAGGAACAGCTCCAAGACAGAGGAGGCACTGAAGCTGTGGAGGACCGAGGAGAGCAGCACCGATTTCACGCTCTACGACTTCGGCGATCTTGCCGCTGCCACGGACAACTTCTCTGAAGATCACAGGCTCGGCACAGGCGGATTTGGACCTGTCTACAGGGCAAGTTATCTGAAACTCCTATAATTTTTGTTTTTACAGTCGATTTTTGACCAAAATGTGTGAATGGTTGTCGCTATATATGCTAATAATCTGCGGCATCATAGTTGCTGTCCCTATTGTTTAGCAGTCAATGTTGACGAAAATGCGGATGACTTGGTGATGCTAACATGCATGATTATTATTTGCTTTGTCTGTTCGTGTTTTCAGGGTGAGTTGTCTGATGGAGCCGAGATTGCGGTGAAGAGGCTGGCAGCGCAGTCCGGGCAGGGGCTGAAGGAATTCAAGAACGAGATCCAGCTCATTGCCAAGCTGCAGCACACCAACCTCGTCAGGCTCGTTGGCTGCTGTGTTCAGGAGGAGGAGAAGATGCTGGTCTACGAGTACATGCCCAACAGAAGCCTGGACTTCTTCATCTTCGGTATTATTCTCTCTTTTTGTTCAATACAATCTTCGTCCAAAATTATACTTAACAATTTACAATTTAGACATACAGTTGTGTAGATTCATATCTATAAATGCTTATATTTCGGAACGGATGGAGTAGACAGGGGCGGAGCTAAAATTTTCTCAAGCTTAGGACTAAATTAGTGTAATTTTCATATGTTCGTCGAATACTAATATTTGAGATATGAAATTGAGTTTTTTTATAGATTAAAAACTTTTTATCATTTTCATAACTATGCGATTAATTAAAAACAATAACACAAAAGCAAATGCCCTGAATATATAACAGGTAAAAAGGGAAAAGACAATTACTTTTGTTTGTAGTCCACTTGATCAAACAGCGTGTCAAACTGCTGTTAAAAAAAATCAACGTGCCAAAATTTCAAAAGACTATGTTACCGTCGACGTTTTACTCATCTTCCGATTTTCCTAATCCTTTCTATCTTTTTCAAGTACGGTTTAGGAAAGAAAATGTATATTGCCAAATGGTTTCCATATCCAAATGGTTTCCATATCCAAATGGTTTCCTAATTAAACAAGTAAAAAAAAGTGAAATGGATTACTTCTGAACGACTTTGTTACCGTCAACGTTTTACTAATCTTCGATAATGTTTTCACGCATGTAGACCAGGAGCAAGGGCCATTGCTGGACTGGAAGAAACGGCTGCACATAATCGAGGGCGTCGTGCAGGGGCTCCTCTACCTTCACAAGCACTCACGTGTACGCATCATCCACCGCGATCTCAAGGCCAGCAACATACTCCTCGACAAGGACCTCAATCCTAAGATCTCCGACTTCGGCATGGCCAGGATCTTCGGCTCCAACATGACTGAAGCCAACACCAACAGAGTCGTCGGCACCTAGTAAGAAAAAGAATAATGATATATATCGTAGCAATACTTATCATTTTAATTACACTCCTATTTTAAATTACTTAGCATTTTAATTTTTTTTAAGTTCAAACATTCGTAAATTTAACCATCAATTACTAAAACATTATAAAGTTTAGCATCATAATATTTATGTTTTTATTCACCATGAGATGTAATTTTTATAATATATAATTGACATGTTACTAATTAAACTATATAAACACTTAAAATGACTTTAAATAAACTAAAGTAACAAGTAAATTAAAACGGAGAGAGTACTGGTAATCTGGTATTAAGTTTTAGCATGTCAACTGGCTGGGCAAATTGATTAATAGCCGTGATGTTTTCCTTCAGGTGTTTGTACCTTTATTTTTGGAGGATAAGATCAGGTACCTGCAGTACTGTACTTACTAGCTAGTGGTATTGATTGTTGTTTTGGTGTTCACGTGTGCAGTGGATACATGGCTCCTGAGTACGCATCGGAGGGCATTTTCTCGGTCAAGTCCGACGTGTTCAGCTTCGGCGTGCTGCTGCTGGAGATCGTCAGCGGCAAGAGGAACAGCGGCCACCAGCACTACGGCGAATTCGTCAACCTCCTCGGATACGTACGTTTTTACGTTGTTTTTTCTATCTTAATTTCTTTTTCTCTCTCGCTGAAATAATGGCGTGTTACTATTCTAGTACGACCTTTTTGTGTGTGTGTTCTTAATCAAAACCGTACTTGTCGTCCGTGGATTAATAAATGGGCACGCGGCTTATCCTGTACAATTATCAATTATGTCGAAACGTTTTCACGTCTACACTGTAGCTACGTTTGACTTACGCTAGCTAGCAACATGATTAGTCATCACTAACGAGGATTAATAAATTGGTTGATCAACTTGGCATCTTTTTCAATAACTTTATCGTGCTCTCTACTGTTACAATTATATTCCGATTATATATATTATCATCAGCTGATTCTTCTATAATATAATCTGAGCTATTAATTTATGAATTCCAATACTAATAATTAAAAGATGTACTATAAATAAATACTACTATCTATTAGAATATAAAAGATTTATATATTTCAAACATAGAGTTTTTTTAAAAAATATATTATTATTTTTTGTCAGGCGTGGCAGCTGTGGAGAGAAGAGAGAGGGTGCGAGCTGATCGACCCGACGCTGGGCGAGTGCAGCGGCAGCGAGGCGGCGGCCATAATCCGGTGCGTGAAGGTGGCGTTGCTGTGCGTGCAGGACAACGCGACGGACCGGCCGACGATGACGGACGTGGCGGCGATGCTCGGCAGCGACGGCGTCCCCCTGCCGGACCCGCTGCCGCCGCCGCACTACCAGCTGAGGGTCTCCGGCGACGACTACGACGACGGCGGCCGCGGGTCGCCGGCCGGCGGCGGCTTCCGGCCGTCGCGGTGGCGCTTCACCGACTCGTGCAGCACCAACGACGTCACCATCACCACCATCGAGGAAGGGAGATAATAGCGGTCGATCGATCTCACCGGCATTTCGATCATTACGTTTACGCGTTCGCTGGCTGGCCTTCACATGTGGCCAACGCGTCCTTTTCGTGAGACATCTGTGAGTGAGTGTACTCCACTTGTGGTCGATCGAAGTCGAAGATAGGCAGGGCGCAACAGTGGTGGTTGGCATGGTTGCATCACCGTATGGATGTTACGTCGTTGTACAGAGACAACTCGTATATGGGGATGAGTACCTGAGCGGCTGAGCCAACAAAGAGGGTGTTTTTTTTTTTTCTTTTGTACAACTTTTGTGTGAAGAGTGTACGACTAAAGCTGGTACGTACAGTGTTTGTTGATGGATGAAAAGAAAGTACAAGGATGGTTGGATGCAAATTGGGGTTTGGGGTGTCGATTGCATGGTTGGTTTCCTTTTGCCACGAACACCCCCATGTTAGGTGTGGCGTGCGGCCGACTATTAATTCAAGCCGTGTTAATGCGAAGCGAAACTTGATGATGGTTGACGATTTATTCGCGGGGGGAGCACGTGTGAGCTTGGTAGTTGTCGTCAGCAGAAAATAATGCAGTACAGTACAGACTGATGGAAATCGACGGATTTTCCCCTTTGTAAAAATGGGACAATGTGTGTTTCCCTTTCAAAATAATACACAAGGTCATCCCACCACCACCTCTCATCTGCAGCAGCAGCAGTAATAATAATAATAATAATTTTTTTGGCATGGTTACCAATAAATATATGATAACATAACATGGTCCCAGAAAATTAGGACTACAAATTTCTTTATATTTTAATCCATACTAATGCTTTCTAATATATTTAAAGACCACTCGTTACATTTTTAAAAAGTTTTGCTCTTCCTACTTTACTAAGTTGGCTAAAATGCGTTTATTTTCTTCAGCTTCTTTAAAGTGTTGGATGGTAATCATAGCCACCTCAAAGAACTGTGCTCGTGCCCACAATGTGAACATGCTCACGACACAATTCTATTTAGTGAAAAATATGAGTCTAGCTAAGTCTATTTGTCACTTCGGTACGATCCGTTTATAGACATCATCTCAACAGATAAGTCCTTTCCACAAAATATGTCCTAAACAACCATTTGAAAGATGGTATGAATTTCAACAATTAAATCTCAACCTGGCAATCTAGATTTGTTATTTGCGGTATATAAACTATAAGAGTGGTTTCGTAGTCCTTACAAGGGTACCTATAGTTATCATATTTTCTATATCTAAAATTTATTTAGTGTATCTCGGTACCTTATTTATTAAAAGCTCCAAAATTTACATGAAATTATTTTGGTACAATAAAATTGCTCAAAGTGGTCTAAACCCTAACTCTCCTTGGTTCTTTTGTCTCGCCCTGCTGCTGCTGCCCCCTCACATTTCTTCTCCAATGCGGACAGTGGGTGGATCTTGTACTTGCCTATTGACAATTCTGCATCCCAACAGTTCCGTACTTCCGTAGTCTCGGCTTTTTAGATCAAAGATCGATCACCGAAGTCTCATAGCAAGTTTGATAATATAGCCCACTACTAACTCCAAATCATCTATAGCCAATGTAATAGCTAATTCTTACAGTACATAGTTGCTTACTATACTATTAATATCTGGTCCTACTTGTCATACACACATTACGTCTTATAATCCGTGCTGCAGCTGGCTACAGATCTGTAGTCCGCTGTTCTTCTCTCTCTTCCTTTATCTTTTTAAAATATATTTATAGCTGGCTTATAGCCTGCTATTATACCTGCTCTCGATCAGCTAACAAATTGTGTTGCCTCGGGCCAAGAGAATTCGCTGGCCACATGGCCCATAGGCCATAGTCATCTGCCGCCATCGGCTTGCGCCCTTGCGTAAGCCTTCTGGGCCGAACATGGCCGATCACCCAAGCTAACTCGTATGGGTCATCATTTGGAGGTGGCACACATCGCCTCCTTTTCCCTCATCAATTGCCGCGACGCTCCTTCTCCCAGCCAAGGTGAACGGATCCTCTTCCTCCTCGGCCACCTCGCCGGCGTCCGGCGAGAGACCCAACAAGATCGCCGCCTCCGTCTCGATCCTGCGACCGGTGGCGTCCCGATCGCAGGAGAGGCCCTGCCAGTCTGCTCTCTGCTGCCATAGGTGGTGGAGATGTGGATCAGTATATGTAAGTTCAGTTCAGGTATGTATGTTTCATCTGGTAATTAATTTGGTTTATTCCCAACAAATTTGCTACCAATTTCACTACAAATAGTGTACAATATGTCGAGTTGTTTACATCTTATAGACCTGCATGTAACGTAGACGAATCAGGTCTCTCCTTTATAACAACCAGAGATCACTACTCCGTACTGTTTTATCAACTTGGTTAGACGCTTGTTGACTGATATGCGTATTCCAATTGATATGATACAGGGCGTTACACTTGTGTGTTTCTAAGTCGACTGATCGCTCACAAAGAAAGGGCACATTCTTATTGATGTATATTTTATTTTCCATGGGAGATGTAGCCACTTTTTCCTTCTAAGAAGAATGTTTAAGGGCCTGTTTAGATCCATTTGGAATGGTAAATGGCAAATGGTAAAAGTTTTGGTGGCAAAAGTTTTGTCATTGCAAAAGTACTAGTTGGTGTTTAGATGCATGCTAAAGTTTTGCCATTCTAGCACTAAAGTGAGAGAGAGAAAGAGAGAGGGAGTGGTCCCAAAGCACTTTTTGGCACAATTTGCTACTATGGACTAGCAAATGCTAAATGCCAAATTGCCAACTTTTGCTACTAGTGTTTAGATCCAAAATGACAAAAAGTGCTACAAAATGGCAAAACTTTTGCCATTTTGGAGGATCTAAACAGGGCACATCTTTTCCCATGTTTGTCAGGTGGAGATATATAAATTAGAGATCAGACAATGAAGGGCCTATTTAGATCCATTTGGAATGGCAAATGGTAAATGGCAAAAGTTTTGGTATTGCAAAAGTACTAGTTGGTGTTTAGATGCATCCTAAACTTTTGCCATTCTAGTACTAAAGTGAGAGAGAGAGAAAGAGAGAGGGAGTAGTCCTAAAGCACTTTTTGGCACAATTTGCTACTATGGACTAGCAAATGCTAAATGCCAAATTGCTAAGTTTTACTACTAGTGTTTAGGTCCAAAATGACAAAAAGTGCTTCAAAATGGCAAAACTTTTGTCATTTTGAAGGATCTAAACAGGGCCGAAGTCACAACATACCCCTGATCGTGGTCGCATGCATTAAGGCATCCATGCATGTATGTTATTTCATTATATTGATATCTCTAATTTCATCTTTTATTGCATTCTAGTGCATGAAGTCGCGCATGCGTGTGACTATCACTATCTTTTCTGATTAGTGTTTAAGAATAATCTATTACTGATATTATGTCACTGAAGAATTTGTTGTGAAAATATATAAAATATATGTTTGTTTTAAGATAGAAATATATGTTTTTATCATTTCTCTCAACCATACAAACATTTTTTCTTTATTTCTTATGCGTCTCTTCGTTGCTCTATATCCCTCTCCCACATATGGAGACATGGAAAGCTCTATAACACCCTCTTTTATCCAATGGCTGAAATTTATTCTCTTGTTTTGTTTGCTTGTTGATCTAACGGTTATTATTTATTAGATGATATGGCTCATTCTTCTTATGTTTTGGGATTCTCTTTTCAAGAGTTAAGATATATGTGTCCATCCATCCATCTATCTATCTATACAGACATATACTAATTAGATTAGTTACTTCTAAGAAGCTACTACTTTTATTAGAAAGATCTAACCATTAATTTGTTAGATCCTATTGTCGTGAACGTAGATCATGTGTGTAGAGTCCAAATGAAATAAATCATGCAACTAGAAATAGAATGGTGATTCTATTTAAAATAACTTATTTTATAAATATTATCTGTCAAACTAGGATCTTGATGACTATATGAAAATTCAAAAACACTATATTTTAAAATAGAGAGGGTAAGTTGTAACTGATGTGAACTCTTATTTTAATATGAACAGCCTTGAAAGTAAACAACACGTTTAAAATACTACTAAAATATTAATATCTAGCAATAGCATGTGCAACCCAAAGGTTACGAATCTTTGTCTATAGGAATAGTATATGTGGAGTATATATGCACATGTTCATCATTGCAAAGATCAAAAGTGATCGAGTTAATAACTAATATAATGCATTGTGAAAGCTCTTTAGTTGGCAGCTGCTGACTAGTCAATGGACAATGGAGGTTTGTAGTCAACGGTCAAAGTCAACACTAACCCCGCTTATCTATGTATACCTACTGAACTGGAGCAGCCTGTACTACTACTCCGGCTGAATTATCTCTTCTCCGGCGATGACTCTCGCCGCGATCCTCCTCCTCGTCCTCGCCCTGGTCGCGCCGCCGCTTGCCGCCGCCGCCGTCCTCGACGACGGCGGCGGCGGCCACCGCCCGCCGTTCCACATGTGCGGGATGGTGCAGGGTCGGTTCGCTCCCAACAGCTCGTACGAGGCCAACCTGCGGCGTGTCGCCGCCACGCTGCCAGCCATGGTGGCGAACGGATCCTCCTCCTCCTCCTCCGGCGTCGATGTCCTCGTCGGCGAGCGGCCCGACCAGATCTCCACGTCGGCCTTCTGCGGCGCCAACTCGTCGGCGGCGCCGGAGTACTCCGACTGCGGCGCCTGTGTCGAAACATGATTTCGGCAATAATAAAAGGGGGTAGCGCACGAGACCTAAAAGTGGATGGATGCGGAGACAAAGGATTTAGACAGGTTCAGGCCCTCTCAATGAGAGGTAATACCCTACTCCTGTTTGGGGGTTTGAATCCGCCGGGTGTGTATTGATCTGACGATCAGGTTATGTCATATCTGCCCCCTAGAGGGCCTCCTGCCCACCTTATATAGGATGGGGGGCAGGATTACAAGATAGAAACCTTAACCAATACGGTATCGGTTTCCTAAATCAGGACTTTAGGCCGTTCCGTAATATACAAGGAAACGTAACACCCAAGTCATGATCTGTTACATATTACATAGATATAAGTTATCCCCTATAACTAGTCGGATAACCATGCCCTGTGGGTATGGGGTACCCATAATATCCACAGTAGCCCCTGAGACCTTCGCAGTCGAAAAGATAATCTTCTCTCGAACCAGATTACTCCAAAGCCGAGTGCTTCAATCATCTTTGTCATGGTCTCCCGAGTACTTTTACCAAATCTGAAGACTGTGGAGGGCTGAAAAATAAAGTCAGGTGCATCGAATAGATGCACCTAATAGGTGTAGCCCCCCGACAATGTGGTTAATTGAACAAACCAAGCATATAGTCAAGGAATAAATAATCCAACCAACCAAGTGGTTTTGATAATCGTAATCAACCAAGTGACTTGATATCAATATATAGTATATGCGGTGTGAATCCTCCAAATAACATGATCCGAGTGATATACCAAAATAGCTATAAAAAAGCTCGTATATTGTGAATAAAGAAATTTCCAAAGTATTGGGCATACGCCATGCGCACACTGCTTTAACAGATGTGCTTAAGTCCCTAGAAGACACATGGTTTCACCACACCTGGAAATATATGGCATATGTGGTGTAAAATCCGAGTAAATAAACTCATAAAGGATTTACCAACCGCCTAGAAAAATGACCATAATATATAATCAGCCTAAGCCATAATATTGGTCAATAAAAATGCACACTTACGTGGCAAAAAGCAATGATATTATATCCAATCAATTGCTTGATAAACCCAAACAGCACCTTGACTATATAAAAAAGTCAGCGGGGCAGCTATGTAAAGCTTTACTGTTTGACACATTTTAAGATGCATCGTACCAACTCCTAAAAAGTCGAGTAACTGCGGTATAAAAGGATTTTAAGGTATTGGGCACTTGATCACGCGCACTTTGGCCTAAGCGAAAAGTGCCTAAGTCCCTAAAAGAACGTGACAGGCCACACCTGAAAATATGGGCTGCAGACATATTAGGCCTAGGCCAAAACATATGCCTTCGACACCCTTTAAAGGATGACGCATATAACATGCTCCCGAGTAATAAATCTTCCGGGTAATATAGATCAAGCGTAGCTCATATGAATAGCTTCTGATCTAAATGATTATCCCTTATGGGATACTCCAAAATAAATATAATAATTGAATCCCGACTGGCGCAAGTATTCGGTTGATAGCCCTTACGGGGAATAATAATTGGTCCAGTCTTTGAGCATAGAAAATAGACTCATGACTATGAATCCATGTGGAATGTATCCGGAACAAGTCCAAATTGGAGATATAATCCTCACGCTTGAGTTGATGAGCCCCTGAGCATATAGCTTGTCCTTCTGTCATAGTCAAAATTGTTTATTGGCAATAGCTGACGCAGTCGGCATGGAGATGAAATGACCAACATGAAGACGAAATTGCTCATCAAAAGTAACGGAAGATGTCATTGGTAGTAAAAAACAGTGACACCAATCAAAGATAATGAAGTTGCACAGCCGTGGAGGCGAAGAAACCAATCGGCAGCAGACAAGTCAGCCAACAGTGAAGATGAAGGCATCCAGCAACATCGACAAAATTGAGCGGCCATGGTGGCGAAATAATCAGTCGGTGACAGATGAGGCAGCCGGTGAAGAAGATGAAGATGCCCATTAGTGGCGACATAATAAGCCATCCGTGAAGGCGAGGATACCAGTCGGTGGTGACGAAAGCAAGCCGACGGTGAAGATGTAGACACGTATCAAAGGCAATAACGAAATCCACCAATCATGAAAATGAAGAAAATAGTCGACGACGACAAAGGCAACCGTCAGTAGCAACAGAGATGATCGACTATGATGACGAAATTGCTCATCAAACAGTAGTAGAGTGGGCAATGTTGAAGAGGCTTGACAGTATGTTGATGAAGATGACGATGTTGGTGATCCAGCCAATAGCAGTGTAGCAACCAATGATAATGACAAAGACGCTCATCAGCATTTGCATAGTAGGTCAACCATGAAGGTGAAATAATAAGTCGGCGAAAACATAATCATCCATTAGCAACAGCGGAGATGTCAGGGCCGATGAAGCAGAGGTGCTGGTGATGATGTCAGTGACAATAATCCATCAAATTAATGTTATAGCTGTTGTAGATGCTTCACTTGGAGGAGAGTTGGTGTTGTTGTCCAACTCGTCCAAACCGAAATATTTGAAGTTGTTGAAGTAGAATGTCTGCTCCGAAGCAAAGATGAAGATAATGACTCCTGGAGTTGACTCGTTGGTTGATGAATTGATTTCTTCAGCTTGACATAAAATTTGTCAAATTTTGAGCCTTATATTTGTGTAGCCCCTGACTCTTTGATTAGTTGGGAAACAACTGAACATAGAGTCGAGAACTGTAGCTTCTTGTCGTCGAATAGTCATTGCTTGATTGAAGATATGTGTTGAAGATGTCCAAGTAGAAATCCTGAATATTGGAGAGCCACTTGTTGTAGTAAAATAACATGGCATTGCATGCCGAGATGTCGAGGTTCACAAAGACGTCGTGGTTGGTGAAGTAGTAAAACTTGCGAAGTAGCAACAATAGAGTTTGCCGGTGCCGAAGATAATAAAGATGAAGTCGCTCCACCATGATGACAAAGTTGTATTGCCGTAATGAAGTGAACACAAGTCGGCGGCAACAGAAGCAAACCGGTAGTGAAGACGCGCAGTTGTGAAGATAAAAGCACAAGTCGGCGGCGGCATAATCAGTCGGCGACGGAAGATGATGATGTCCATCAGTAGTGGTAGCTGTATAAACCAGACGTAGAGGTAAGGGCACTAATCAGCAACAGACGAGACGACCGGCGATTAAGATGTAGATGCCCAACAACGGCGGCATAATAGGCCAGCCGTGCAGACGGAAACACCAGTCGGCGGCGATGGAGGCAGGCCGGTGGTGGAGTCGTAGACGCCCAACAACGACGGCATAATAGGCCAGCCGTGCAGACGGAAACACCAGTCGGCGGCGATGGAGGCAGGCCGGTGGTGGAGTCGTAGACGCCCAACAACGACGGCATAATAGGCCAGCCGTGCAGACGGAAACACCAGTCGGCGGCGATGGAGGCAGGCCGGTGGTGGAGTCGTAGACGCCCAACAACGACGGCATAATAGGCCAGCCGTGCAGACGGAAACACCAGTCGGCGGCGATGGAGGCAGGCCGGTCGGTGAAGACGTAGACGCCCATCAACGGTGGCATAATAGGCCAGCCGTGCAGGCGGAAACACCAGTCGGCGGCGGACGAGGCGGCCGGTCGGTGAAGATGTAGACGCCCAACAACGGCGGCATAATAGGCCAGCCGTGCAGGCGGAAACACCAGTCGGCGGCGGTCGAGGCGGCCGGTCGGTGAAGACGTAGACGGTCAACAACGGCGGCATAATAAGCCAGCCGTGCAGGCGGTGACACCAGTCGGCGGCGGACGAGGCGGCCGGTCGGTGAAGACGTAGACGCCCAACAACGGTGGCATAATAGGCCAGCCGTGCAGGCGGAAACACCAGTCGGCGGCGGCGAAGGCAAGCCGGTCGGTAAAGACGTAGACGCCCAACAACGGTGGCATAATAGGCCAGCCGTGCAGGCGGAAACACCAGTCGGCGGCGGCGAAGGCAAGCCGGTCGGTGAAGACGTAGACGTCCAACAACGGCGGCATAATAGGCCAGCTGTGCAGGCGGAAACACCAGTCGGCGGCGGCGAAGGCAAGCCGGTCGGTGAAGACGTAGACGCCCAACAACGGCGGCATAATAGGCCAGCCGTGCAGGCGGTGACACCAGTCGGCGGCGGACGAGGCGGCCGGTCGGTGAAGACGTAGACGCCCAACAACGGCGGCATAATAGGCCAGCCGTGCAGGCGGAAGCACCAGTCGGCGGCGGACGAGGCGGCCGGTCGGTGAAGACGTAGACGCCCAACAACGGCGGCATAAAGGCCAGCCGTGCAGGCGGAAACACCAGTCGGCGGCGGCGAAGGCAAGCCGGTCGGTGAAGACGTAGACGCCCAACAACGGCGGCATAATAGGCCAGCCGTGCAGGCGGAAGCACCAGTCGGCGGCGGACGAGGCGGCCGGTCGGTGAAGACGTAGACGCCCAACAACGGCGGCATAATAGGCCAGCCGTGCAGGCGGAAGCACCAGTCGGCGGCGGACGAGGCGGCCGGTCGGTGAAGACGTAGACGCCCAACAACGGCGGCATAAAGGCCAGCCGTGCAGGCGGAAACACCAGTCGGCGGCGGCGAAGGCAAGCCGGTCGGTGAAGACGTAGACGCCCAACAACGGCGGCATAATAGGCCAACCGTGCAGGCGAAAACACCAGTCGGCGGCGGACGAGGCGGCCGGTGGTGATGTTCTGACTGATCCATTCCTAGAGCGTAAGAGATAAGCTTAAAGCCATGAATCCCTTTTATGCATATCTGGATCTGGATCCTGCAGAACAAACATATAGGATGAGTAGTATCTGATATAAATATAATACTCGAGAAAAAATCAAGTATTTTAAAATATTTATAAATATGTATTTCTCCTCTTGTCAATTTTGATTTCCCCGAGCAGATGACTCATTACGTTTAAACGCTCTGCCCAACTAGTCATAGCCACCAAGCACTGGGAGTCGGCCTAAGCACTTCCCAAACATGCATATGAGTGACATGAGTTCGTCATTAATGGAACAAAGTTTCACGGATCGGAGTTTACTACTCGGGTACTTTTGCAATTATTAAGAGCAGAAAATAAATTTATCTCATCTCTATGCTTTTGATTTATTCCGAATAATACTTAGCACCTTGCGTTACTCGGTCCATCCAACGAGCCCCCGGGTGCTAGGAATCGGCCCAAAGGCAACCATCCATTGGCAAACCAAACGGAAAGCATAGGAAGATAGAACTCCATAACTCGATAGGTACTTTTGTACTCAGATTATGTCGCAAGCAATCAAGATAAATATTATAAAAAATATGATATAACATCTGTAGCCCCCGACTCACTACTCAATGGAAGACCAATTGGTGTAGTGAGGCAGAGGAAAAGGAAAAATATCATATAAAGAATAAAATAAATGATGACTTAGCTTTGTAATATTCCCCTTGGTGATGGCAGAAGTGGCCAATGTGGGAACAAAGTCGTCCATCAATAACAATGAAGACACCAGTCGGCGGCGACGAAGGCGGTCGACGGTGAAAGCGAAGACGCCCAACAGCGGCGGCATAATAGGCCAGCCGTGTAGGCGGAGGCACCAGTCGGCGGCGATGGAGGCAGGCCGGCGGTGAAGATGACGATGCCCATCAACGGTGGTGTGACCAACCGACCGTATAGGCGGGGACACCAGTCGGCGGCGACGGAGGCAGGCCGGTGGTGAAGTCGTAGACGCCCAACAGCGGCGGCATAATAGGCCAGCCGTGTAGGCGGAGGCACCAGTCGGCGGCGACGGAGGCAGGCCGGCGGTGAAGTCGTAGACGCCCAACAGCGGCGGCATAATAGGCCAGCCGTGTAGGCGGAGGCACCAATCGGCGGCGACGGAGGCAAGCCGGCGGTGAAGTCGTAGACGCCCAACAGCGGCGGCATAATAGGCCAGCCGTGTAGGCGGAGGCACCAATCGGCGGCGACGGAGGCAGGCCGGCGGTGAAGTCGTAGACGCCCAACAGCGGCGGCATAATAGGCCAGCCGTGTAGGCGGAGGCACCAATCGGCGGCGACGGAGGCAAGCCGGCGGTGAAGTCGTAGACGCCCAACAGCGGCGGCATAATAGGCCAGCCGTGTAGGCGGAGGCATGGACGCCCATGAACGGTGGTGTGACCAACCAACCGTATAGGCGAGGACACCAGTCGGCGGCGACGGAGGCAGGCCGGCGGTGAAAGCGTAGACGCCCAACAGCAGCAGCATAATAGGCTAGCCGTGTAGGCGGAGGCACCACTCGGCGGCGACGGAGGTAGGCCGGCGGTGAAGTCGTAGACGCCCAACAGCGGCGGCATAATAGGCCAGCCGTGTAGGCGGAGGCACCAATCGGCGGCGACGGAGGCAAGCCGGCGGTGAAGTCGTAGACGCCCAACAGCGGCGGCATAATAGGCCAGCCGTGTAGGCGGAGGCACCAATCGGCGGCGACGGAGGCAAGCCGGCGGTGAAGTCGTAGACGCCCAACAGCGGCGGCATAATAGGCCAGCCGTGTAGGCGGAGGCATGGACGCCCATGAACGGTGGTGTGACCAACCAACCGTATAGGCGAGGACACCAGTCGGCGGCGACGGAGGCAGGCCGGCGGTGAAAGCGTAGACGCCCAACAGCAGCAGCATAATAGGCTAGCCGTGTAGGCGGAGGCACCACTCGGCGGCGACGGAGGTAGGCCGGCGGTGAAGTCGTAGACGCCCAACAGCGGCGGCATAATAGGCCAGCCGTGTAGGCGGAGGCACCAATCGGCGGCGACGGAGGCAAGCCGGCGGTGAAGTCGTAGACGCCCAACAGCGGCGGCATAATAGGCCAGCCGTGTAGGCGGAGGCACCAATCGGCGGCGACGGAGGCAGGCCGGCGGTGAAGTCGTAGACGCCCAACAGCGGCGGCATAATAGGCCAGCCGTGTAGGCGGAGGCACCAATCGGCGGCGACGGAGGCAGGCCGGCGGTGAAGTCGTTGTTGTTATCAGCAATGGCGGTGGCGAAGACAAGCCGGCAGAGTGGACTCGCGGCCGATCGACCGGAAAGCTGAGACGCCTCGAGTCTATGACCAGCATCAATCGCCTCAATAGTGCCGCGTAATTATATGCGAACAACAACAAAAAATAGCAAGAGATTAATCTGGGATTAAAAATCAGTACGATAAATAATGATAAAAATCAGATTGAGTTTCCCCCTGACTGATTTGGATCAAGTCAGAGAAGAGGAGCTTGAAGAAGTGGTCGACGGAAAGGAAGTGAAAACTCCCAAAGCGAAAACGAAGTCGGCGACTCATGAAATTGATTCCATCGCGCTTGTTGATAGGAAACTCGACGCAACCCCTACCTGGCGCGCCAACTGTCGAAACATGATTTCGGCAATAATAAAAGGGGTAGCGCACGAGACCTAAAAGTGGATGGATGCGGAGACAAAGGATTTAGACAGGTTCAGGCCCTCTCAATGAGAGGTAATACCCTACTCCTGTTTGGGGGTTTGAATCCGCCGGGTGTGTATTGATCTGACGATCAGGTTATGTCATATCTGCCCCCTAGAGGGCCTCCTGCCCACCTTATATAGGATGGGGGGCAGGATTACAAGATAGAAACCTTAACCAATACGGTATCGGTTTCCTAAATCAGGACTTTAGGCCGTTCCGTAATATACAAGGAAACGTAACACCCAAGTCATGATCTGTTACATATTACATAGATATAAGTTATCCCCTATAACTAGTCGGATAACCATGCCCTGTGGGTATGGGGTACCCATAATATCCACAGCCTGCGTCGCCAAGGCGCTCCGGTACGCGCGGCGGCTGTGCGGGTATAGCAGGCGCGCCATGGTCGACCTCGGCGCCTGCCGCGTCAGCTACCACGACGTCGGACGCGTGGAGCTGGAGATACAAGCTTCATTAGCCGTTCGCATCTTCGACGAGCGTGAGTGATCTGCTACTGCTAGCTCGATAGATATAATTATACTGTGATTTTGTTCGCCTTAATTCAGTACTGATTCCAGAATTTCAGATAGACTTTGCTTCATCCGAATCAACATTTTAGTCGTTTTCTTTTCCAGATACTTCATCTTGGTGGAGAATTGTTTTGACCCATGATTTCCCTATGATGGTGGTGTTCCAAGTGATCGGAGTCGCCTGGGTTCTGTTCATGTTCCTCCAGGAATGGCGAGACGGTAGAAGGAGAAGAGCCCAGGCCAATCGGCTGCCATAGGTGGGAGGTTCAGTTCAGGTATGTTTCATCTGGTTTTGTTTATTCCCAACAAGAATTCGAAAAGTTCGTTATAATATCATAGAATGTTTCAACTTGGTTGAAATGCAAATATAATGTAGACAAGTTAACCAGAGTTCTTTGAGATCTTGGTCGGATTCTTGACTGATATCCATATTCCATTTGATACAGGGTTTCAACTTCTGTTTGTAATTCGACCGATCGGCTGATCCTGAACAAGCAAATCCATTTGCGGCAAAAGAAAAGGGCCCATATATTTCCATACAAGATTGTACATTCAGAAATTGATAGGGACTGTTTCCTTGTTCCTCCGATTTATCAAATGGAAAAGGCGATATACTGATACTCCGTATAATGTTGGAGACTGGAGAGTGCGGACTGATAAATATGCAGATACAGAAATCAATGTAGGGCTGTAGGCATCACTTGCGATGTCACCTTGTTATTGTTTATTATAGAAAAAGTCCAATATGACTCCCTCAACTGTAGGTTGGATCTGATCTTTATTCCTCAACCGTAAAACCAGGTATAACGACTCCTTCAATTGCTTAGACTGTGTTCGAACCCTCACTCCCTGGCACAGAAAACGGATGAGCGATTAGCACGTGATTAATTAACTATTTGCTTTTTTAAAAAAAATGGATTAATATGATTTTTTGAAGCAACTTTCGTATAGAATTTTTTTTTGCAAAAAACGCACCGTTTAGTAGTTTGAAAACCATGCGTGCGGAAAATGAGGGAGGAAAGTTGGGAACCGGAGGTAAAGAACGCAGCCTTAAACCAGAATAATTTAACTCCCAGGGTAGTTTGAGAGCGATTTTGGCTAAGGTGGCTCATTGACCCTGGTCAACTGGCTGACTCAGCATGTGGGGTTCATATGCCAACGCATCATCTTCCTCTCTATCTCTCCCCACCCACTCAAGCTCGTCGGCGTCTGACGCAAATAGGCGAGGCTTTCCCATGCCGCTACCCGATCTCACCGTCGCCCTGCGTGGTGGAGGGCAAAGGGCGGGGATCCCCTTTCGCCTACCTCCGCTTCGATGGCATGTTGCTCAGGCAAGAGCGCGAGTATGACGACGCCGTCGAACAAGTAGACTCTGCCATGCCGATGACGTAGCAGCGGAGGAATGAGCTCGAGATGGAATAGTTTGGCGCAGGAGACTAGAGGTCTATGACAGTTTAGGGCTTGACATCAGTTGAAGGAGCTCTGATACCCAACTAGCCTCCTAGAGCAGATCCAACACAAAATTCTCCACGTACGCCGGTGTCTACTCCTTGTCACAATGTTGTCATTGGCCTCACTTGATCCCCCTCATGATCAAGCAGATATGGAAGGCGGCTTGGAAAAAGAATATGGATAGAGAGAGGTAGTCCACACTGTTGCGTCCCAAGCGAAGGACTACACCGACCATGGGTCCTGCCATTCATTCAACTTCCTGTCACAACGCCTCCCTCACCTTGCATGGCCACAATCACTATGTTGACCTCACCAAATGCTACAGGGCATGGAGGACGCCATCAACCAAGGTGCCACCCCTATTGTCACACCCCAATCCGGCACCGCCGTACAATGCCGCCTGACAGGAGCGTGTCGTAGGAATAACGGCGCGAACCGCTTCCTACGAAACCGCGATCTCAGTACCAGTACCAGGACATAGTGCTGGTACCCACGGTGACAAATATGAATCATTGCAAATCCTTAAAATAAATAGAGGACTTATTTACCTTAACTTAGGTTGCAGCTCAGGACAGCCTGAGAATACAACCGAAGACACAGACGAGGAAACACCAGCAACAGCAGCAGCAGCGGAACCAATGGTCTAACACCCAACACCACAGGCGACGGCTAGGAACCAGGACGAAACCCTATTCTTCAATTCACTTCATCTTCAGCTTCAGGACGGAGGAACTATATATATTTATATAGAGCAAGGGTGAGTACTTTCGTACTCAGCAAGTCACGGGAACTTAGGTGTTTAATGCAAGCTTGGAAGAGAGGCAAGGTTGTTTTGCAAATCCTTTGTTTAAAATCATTTTTGAAATCACTAAGTGATTTATTTCTTTTTAAGTTTGGGTCGAAAAGGAGACTTGCGTCTCGATTCGACTTAAGAGATGCTTTTCAACAACTCAAATGGTAATGTACCGACCCCCCGAGTCAGATCATTACTTATCGGCTCCCAGAGCCATTTCACTTGATTAATCAGCTCCCAGAGCCTTTTTCATTTTCTCGGACTCCCAGAGTCTAGCTGCCCAGCAGCACAACAATCCGCTTCCACTCAGGAAGCCTAGTCTATGATGCCCGCAGACATCCCGAATCACACAGATTCGTTTCCGACCACTCAGGTCATCCATCTGCCATTCAGGCTGATTCTGGTAACGATTCCCACACCACAACAACTTTTCACAAAGCACAGGCAATCAAATCTACGCAACGGGAACCACCTCACATCCGCCCATGACCGTGGGCACGGCTGTTCGAACAGTTAGTTAACCTCTGCAGAGGGGTACGCTTTACCCACAAGACACGAACTTACTCCAGACACTGGCCGGTGTCAGAGGCTCGCGACAAAGCCTTTCCCAAGCCGACCCAGGGTTACCTCATGCCACATAGAAGGATCAAATCCTCACGTAAGTATAGGCCATTTTAAGCATTCACAAATCAATTCCAACCACCTTGATCGGTAAGTGAGCAAGCTTCTCATCCTTGCCTTACCAGGAACCCGGTTTGTCCGACCCCGCCCCGGCGTTCCCAACTATTGGCATGCGAGGTTTCCCTGAACCGACTAGTTACTTAGCCAGGGTGTCCCATTCCACCTTGTGGTTGCACTTTGATTATGCTCGATGAGTTTCCCACAGGAATCGGTCTTTATATGCGAATACGGGACAGCGCCACGTAGGCACGGCTCCCGCATCGCGAGTTTTCGCAATTCATTTTATTTTCAAACACACCGACACCACATGTCGGGTTTTCAAGGCTTCACAAACCCATTTCCCAAGTTTTCGACAATCAACGGTGTATGTGGGATATTTGGTATGCGCGCTCAGAGAGCACGGATACCGAAGTACCACAAGGGTGGAGCAACAAGGAATCAGGGTAGTACAACCTACAGGAATTAGTGCGACTACTGGGTAGGTCCGTCGGTTTGGCATGCAAACCGAGGCCAAGCAAGTTAAACGTGAGTGATTCTAATGAAGCAAGTTGCAAACAAAATAATAATGACTTTCCAATTATAGGAGCAATTGATCAAAGGGTGACTTGCCTTGCTCAAAGTCTTCACGAAGCTTCACGAATCTTCGAGAAAACCCGCGGTTGACGGAAATCCGGTAACCACAACTATACGCAAACAATTGAAAACCTAGACAAAAGACCAAGAAAAAGACCCTATTTAGACTAAATAATAGTGCCATTAAATAGATCTCAATTTTACGGAATTACTGGAAGTGGAACGGGGTCAATCGGATGAGCGGTTGGGAATATATGGATTTTCGAAGTTTATTGGATTTACTAATCAAAGGAAAAAGGACTTAATAATTTATTAAACCCTTTTTGGAAAGAAATTGAAGGAGGGATGTGATTTAGACTCCCTCGGGCGGCTTGGGCGCGGCCCGAGAGGAGAGGCGCGGCTCGGCCGAACTAATGGGCCGGCCGGCCCGGAGAGGCGGCCCAAGGGGCGCGGGGAGAGTGAGGGAGAGAGAGGGCCGGTGGGCCGAGTCCACCTTGTGGGGTCCCGAGTGGGGCCCGCTTGTCGGTGGCGCGGCTCACCGTGGGAGCGGTGCATGCGGCGCGCGCTAGTGTTCGGATAGGAGTGGCGCGCAGTTTGGTGCACCGGGTGGACCGAAGGGTGGCGGGCCCACGCGCAGCCGTTAGGCTCTCCATGCACCGAGCGCACGCGAGCGGGGACGAGGCTGGCGGGTTGACTTGGTCTAGCCGACGTGGCGCCTACGTGGCGGTCGCGTCGGATGGCGAGAGGAGGAAGACGAAGGCCGGCCGAGATGGACGGCGGACGGCGGCGCGCGTCGGCGGGGCGGTGCGAGGCACGGCGGGAGGAGGGAATACCACCGGAGCGACGAGCGGATCGAGGAGGAGTGAGCCTACGGGACGGATTAGAAGGGGAAGGGCCGACGACGACGAATCACGGCAGAGGTCACCGCCGGTGAGGGAAAGAGGAAAACTCGCCGGGAGAGGAGAGGGATCGATTCACGGTGGTGAGAGCATATCCGGGGTTCAAGGAATCCTTTTCTGGCACCGGATGGGACGGAGGAGCACCGAGGAGAGCCGGCGACGAGCGGCGGCCTCCGGGAGCGGACGGCAATGGCGGCGAGGCCATGCCGGGCGGCGGCGGGGCTCGGGGCAGCGTCCACGCGCGTTTGGGAAGGTCTAGGCTAGCAAATGCGCAAGCTAGGGGGGAGAGGAAGAGTAGGGAGGGAGAACGGGGGCTACCGCGTCGGGAGATCGCCGGGAAGAGCGTCCGACAGCACAGGCGGGATCACCTCGGTCTCGGGCCGGGGAAGGGGAGGGAGAGAGGGCGACCAGAGTCCTCTTTGGCTCCGCGCGCACGCCGTCTTCCCGGCACACGCGACGGCGGAGGAAGGCGAGGATGGCGGCAGCAAGGCGGCGATGGCACTGCAGCGGTGGAGACTGAAGCGGGAGGGATTGAGAGGAGGGACTCGGCTTTATAGTGGAGGCGAGGTCGGTTCGCGCGGGAGGTCGGTTCAAACCGACCTTGGGGCGGTCAAGGCGACAACTGGCGGTCGTGCTCGGAGCTAGCGGCCAATCGGCGGCAGAGGCGGTCACGGGCGTGACGCTGGCTAAGGAAAAAGGTGAAAAGAGGAGGGAAACGAGCTTTGCTCTCTTGCTATTTTGGGAGGAAGGAGGATGTGAGAATGAGAGAGAGGAGCACGAGCTCTGTCTCCTGGTTTTGGAAGGATGCGGCATGGGGGCATCGGAGCCAGGCGATGACAGTGGCGACGTCGGCAAAAGGCGAGCGGGGCCGGGCGGCTGCGCGGCGCAGGCGCGGCAGGGCTGACGGCGGCAGCGACCGGCCGGTCGGCCACGCGCGCGCGCGCGGGAAAGAGCGAAGGCGGTGGCGGGTTTGAACGACAAAGAAGCAGCGCGGAGCGCGGGCGAGAGAGAGCGAGAGAAAACGAGAGAGAGAGATCGGGGGAGAGAGAGGCACTTTCTCTCAGGCAGGGCACGTGCAACGCACGTGAGGAGGGGAGCGGGCTGAAAGGAGATGGGCCGGGGAAGAAGAGTCGGCCCACCGAGCCAGAGGGAGGTAAAATAGACTTTCATAGAGAAGGCTGATTTGGAGAGAATTGGAGTTTGGATTTGGATTCAAATTCGATATTCAAACTCGAGGGTTCAGGGAGGAATCAAGGAAGGCTCAAGATAGAGTTTGGCATTTTTGGGAATTGGGAGCGAGCGTTTAGCGAGGATTCAAAGGATGCGACTGAATTTCGGAATTTGATTTGGAGACTTGAATCGGAAGAGGAATTTGAGGTGGAGGATTTTGATTTCGATGAGAGGGAACAACGGGATTTGAAATGAGATCTTGGCACGACATAGACTCGCACAAAAAGAACGAAAATTTTCGCAATTAGGATTTTGCCGAATTAGTTTTTAACGTCTCACGAAAAGCGGAGCGTTACACCTATGGCCCTCTTCACTGTTACCTGGGTGACGACCCCCTCCTCGCGCTACCTGTAGGTGTAGCAGGTGTTGCCTCGAGGGGAGAAAGGGGGAGAGAGGAGAGAGTGAATGAGGAAGGAGATGAGTGTAGCCATTTACATGTGGGTATCATATTTCTTAATTTTTTGATGACTGGGTTATACGTGGACATCATGTCAGCTGAAACCATCCTCACAATAGTTGAGGGAGTCATTTTACACAATTTAAATAGTTGAAGAGATCAATATACCCGCTTTTACGGTTAAAAGATATAAATCAGATCCGACCTATATTTGAGGGACTCAAATGGACTTTTTCCAGTAATCTTTGTGGTCGTCTATTGTAGGCGGAGTTCTATCCTAGCAATCTGGGCCCAGAACAGCCCATCAGAGCATATACTCGTAGCATATGGGCCGTTATTTCTTATTTGGTTGTGGAAAAGTATATCTGAGATCTCTCATCTTGTCACTGAATTACAAAATCGTCCCTGACATCACATGTTGGGGGAAGAGAGGGAGATGGAGAGGGAGAGGGGAAAGGGTATAAAGAAGCTAAGGTTTCACTGACATGTGGGCCCTACGTGGGTCCTACACTAACTCAGTTGCCACGTCGGACAAAACCAGGGTCAACCAGAGTTAATATTGTCTAAGGACTCAGAGTGATCCGGTTTTATAAGTTAAGGGATGCCATATACTCCCTCCATCCATAAAAGTTACACATATTACTTTTGACACTAAGACCAAGGAGAAATTAAGTCACCTTAGATGTTACAAAATCAATGAGTGAATGCAAGCATGCAACCAATGAGTATTTAGATGACTCCTTAGGTTCTAATAAAATATTTAATTTATCTCTTCATTTAAGTCTTGAATGTATAAAGACTATAAATAGAAACAACTTATTTGGAAAAACTTAAATGTGAAATAGGTGTAACTTTTGTGGATGGAGGGAGTATCTTGTTTTTGGGTTTAGGGACAATTTTGTAATTCGGTGACAAGATGAGAGACCTCAGATATACATTTTCCCTTGCTTGTGGAATGGGTTGAAAGTGTCAATTAGGCCTAGAGGGGGGGTGAATAGGCTAATTTAAAAATCAATTAAAAACGGAAGCAGTAATTTTTGGATATTTCCGAAATTTTCGGATATATCCGAAAATTTTTCGGAGTCAGCACAAATAGCAAAGTAAATCCTAGATCTAGTTGCCTACAACAAGAATATGCTAGCACATACAGCAACTAGACCTATAGCGGCTCAAACAAGCAAAGCTAGTGGAGAGGGAGGAAGTAAAGTCACCAAAGTTGAAGCTCATAAGGTTGTTCCCGAAGTTCGAATCCTTGAGGGGATTCTACTCTCCGTTGAGGAGCTCACTAAGAGCCGGGTCTTAGCTAACCCTTTCCTCAAAAGGTTGCACTAAGCACTCCTCCTTCCACTAAGGGTATCTCTTCCCTTTCGGAGGTAAGATCCGACCTTCACAAACTTCTCCCGGCCAACCACAAGTAGATCGGTGGCTCGGGAGCGACACCTAGCCGCCTAGGAGTCCTCAACCTCCAAGAGTAACAAATGAAGCAAAGAACTCCCGGAGATGATGCAAGTGCTCACAAATCTTCACGAAGTCAACAACAAGCACTCACAAAACTCGAATCCATAACTCTCACACACACACCTAATCCAAATCGAACACGGGTGAGAGGGGAAACAAGAAAGCAAGGCTCAAAAGGGCTAGAGAGAGAGAGCAAGCCAAGGGCACAAATGATTGAAATGGAACCAGCAGCCCTCACAAGTGAGGGGAGGGGGATATTTATAGCCACAGCCCAAATTCTGCCCGTTATGCACAATAATTGAGATTTTCGGATATTCCGAAAGATTTTCGGACATGTTCGAAAATTCCAGCTCAGCACCGACAGCAAAGTCAACGAAGTATTTTTCGGACATTCCGAAAACTTTTCGGACAAGTCCGAAAACAACAACATCGTTCTGGATGTTCTCGGAAAAGTCCGAAAATCACTTTCGGACAAGTTCGAAAATATACAGAAGCGAAATTGACTCTACTGATGATTTTCAGAAAATCCAAAAATCAGTTTCGGACAAGTCCGAAAATATACAGAACCACTTTTGCCTTCGCAGTCATTTTCGGAAAGTCCGAAAATCACTTTTGGACATATCCGAAAATTTCCAGAAGCGAAAATTTGGTTCTGTGTGTTTTCGGAAAGTCCGAAAATGAGTTTTGGAAAACTCCGAAAAAATCCAGAACACACCAAACTGAGGAGAAACACTTTTAAAAATAGATTTTGAGCACTTTGATCACTCCTCATATGTCAATGCATCATCCCTCTTAATAGTGCGACTTTCCTATTGACTCAAATGAAAAGAAAAGTTACAATATACTATTTGTCCTTTGCCACATCACATCTCATCAACGTATTTGGCGGGATATGCATTATGCTAATTCATTGAGGACATAACAACCCTCACATTTGCTTAAATAAAAATGTTAGTTCTCTCTAATCACATTGTAATTAATCATCAAAATTATTAGGGGCCTAGATGCACTTTCAGTTAACATTTTTCGTACTTGGGAGACTTGGTTGGTCCTGCTAAAATGGGGGAAAGCTAGAAGGCGCGTGCACGCCTCTAGTGCACACTTCCGGCGTAACTAACTCCGTTAGTTAACGCTAATGACAGTAATTAGAAAAGATTGTGAAGATTTTTTTCAGGAGATTTTTTTACTAACAGATTGAAAAATTTTTAAGTTAGATTTGATAACTTTCGACTTAAGATTTAAATTTTAGAGTCAAATTTTTAAAACTTTCAACTCAGATTTGAAAACTTTCAACTCGAAATTTGAAAACTTTCAACTCAGATTCAAAAACTTTCAAGTCTAGATTTGAAAATTTTGAAAACTTTCAACTTGAGATTTGAAAATTTTCAACTCGAGATTCGAAAACTTTCAAGTCCAAATTTGAAAATTTTGAAAACTTTCAACTTGAGATTTTAAAATTTTTAACTTGATATTTGAAAACTTTCAACTCGAGATTCGAAAACTTTCAAGTCTAGATTTGAAAACTTTCAACTTGAGATTTGAAAATTTTTAACTCGAGATTAAAAACTTTCAACTCGAGATTCGAAAACTTTCAAGTCCAAATTTGAAAATTTTAAGTTAAGATTTAAAAATTACTAGTAAAAATAGGAAACTAATCATTAGTAAACTAATTACGATTTTTTCTCCTACCCGTGCGGCAGCGAACTGCGAAAAAAGAAAAAAAAAAGAAATAGCGGTAGCTTGCGTTAAAAAAAAAAGAAAAGAAACGCGCGTGTGTGGGCCGTGTGGGCCGGAAGTGTGCGTCGGCAACGCGCGTGCGTGAATTAGCATTCTCGGTTAAAATGTGCGCACCTATCATGCCTTTTCAAGTAGCTGGGCCTATGCGCCGTGGCTACCGGCCCAGCCAATCCAAGAACGGTGAAGGCAAACCGAGTAGGAAGAGTTCTAGTGAGAATTAGCTTGTGCGCTTGCAGGGGATCGAACTCAGGACCTTGCTCCCTATCGCAAGTTTCTGAAAGGTTATAGTACTAGACGAGTTACATATTAGTTACATAGTTACACCCGAGTTATTAAAATGTTTGTTACACTGTAATTACATTTGAAAGATTTTTTAGAAAAATTCTTTAGACATTTTTATAGGTAGCCATGTCTTTTAGAATAACCGGATAGTAATATGTAAAACTGCAACCAAGTATTCCATCCATTCCATTAAAAACCAAATCTTTTTTTATTGGGACGGTGCGAGTAGTTTCGTTCAGAAATGATGGGTCCTGCGTATAGCCTAGTTGCTAGTATTTTTTTTTTAAACCCGAGTTGGGTATTGTAATCTGTAAAATATGTTAACTGCATATATGCACGTTGATCATCATGAGGAAGATGAAAAGAAGATCCCATCAACTAGTTGCTAGTATTTTTCTTTTCTTTAAACCCGAGTTGCTAGTATTGTACTAATCGGTAAAATATGTTAACTGCATATACGCACGTTGATCATCATCAGGAAGATGAAAAGAAGATCCCATCAACAACTAGTTGAAACCCGATGAGTTGCTAGTATTATACTCTCTCCGTATTTTAATGTATAACGCTGTTGATTTATTTAAAATAAATTATAATTACATAAATTTTTTTAAGTAAGATAAATGGTCAAACGTTGATAAAAAAATTCAACAGTATTATACATTAAAATATCGAGAGAGTAATATGTAAAGTAAGTATGTTAACTATATATACGTACGTTGATCATCATCAGGAAGATGAAAAGAAGATCCCATCAACACAACTAACATAATGTAATCCATTGTTGATCTTTCTGGACTAATCAATGGTCGTAGGTAGTCAACGGTCAATGTCAACAACTAGCTCAAACAATCCACCATGGAAACGTGGATATAAATGTGCTACAAGACTGGAGCAGATCCTGTACGTACCAGTCCACCGCCACCACCTCCCTTCAGCTGATCAATCACCTCTTCCTCCGGCGATGCCTCGCGCCACCATCCTCCTCCTCGTGCTCGCCCTCGTCGCGCCGCAGCTGTCAGCCGCCGACGCCGATGCCCTCGTCGACGACGGCCACACCCCGCCGCCGTTCCACATGTGCGGGATCCTGCCGGGGCCGTACGCTGCCAACAGCACCTACGAAGCCAACCTGCGGTACCTCGCCGCCACGCTCCCAGCCAAGGTGATGAACGGATCCTCCTCCTCCTCCGTCGACGTCCTCGCCGGCGAGCGGCCGAACCTGATCGCCGCGTCGGCCTCCTGCAACTCGTCGTCGTCGGAGTACCACGACTGCGGCGCCTGCGTCGCCGAGGCCTTCCGGTGCGCGCGGCGGCTGTGCCCGTACAGCCGGCACGCCGTGGTCCACCTCGGCGGCGGCGCGTGCAGCGTCAGGTACTACGACGTCGAGCGCACGGAGCATGCGGAGGTGCTCATGGTGTGGTGTCCTCCGGAGGCATCACCAAGGAGCGTGAGTGATCTCTACTCGCTCTACAAAACTTGTCTTTTGGATTATGAATATGGCCATGTTTAGTTCCATTCTACATCAAACATTTGAACATCTGCATGAAGTATTAAATTTAGGCTAAAAATAACTAATTGCATAGATTGCAACTAATTTGCGAGACGAATCTTTTAAGCCTAATTGCTCTATGATTTGACAATGTGGTGCTACAGTAAATATTTGTTAATGATGGATTAATTAGGCTTAATAAATTTGTCTCGCTATTTATTGACAGATTCTATAATTAATTTTTTTATTAGTGCCTGAACACTCCATACGACACTATATATATAATATCCGATTTGATACGTCGAAACTTTACAACCCTATATATAAACACCTCCTATATGATGCGTTTTATGCTTTGATTTTTGGTTCGCCTTTATTTTAGTTTTCGTAGATTCGACTTCATCCGAATTTCATGTCCACTTCTTCAGATACGTCATTCTGGTGGAACTTTAGGTTGCATAATTGGTATAAAAGGATTGCGTTTCAAGTAAGTCTCCAAGTGATCGGAGTCGCCTGTGTTCTGTTCATGTTCCTCCGAGAATGGCGAGACAGAAAAAGAGGCACTGCCAAGCTGCTGCCGTAGGTGCTGCTGTATGCCTGTATGATGTATCTGTTCAGTTCAGGTCTGTTTCATCTGGTTTTTATTCATTTCCTACAGAATTATTACGCTAGTAGTTAGCATAAACCATTTCAACCTGGTTAAATGCAAATGTAACGCAGACAAAGGGAAAAGTCCATTCTACACCCTCGAACTCTTGTGCTTGTCTAAAATACACCCCCGAACTACAAAACCGGATATAATACACCCTCGAACTGTCAATACCGGACACTTAACCCCCCGGGCTATTTTTACCGTGGTTTTTGCCACGTCGGATGCCACATCGGATGCCACGTCAGCCCTAGCCACATCAGCGCAAAACATTAACATGGGCCAAGCCCATATTCTCTCCCCCTCTCTCTCCCTCCCCCTCCCCTGTTCATTATCTTCTCTCACGGCCGTTGGCGGCGGCGGCGGAGGCGGCGCAGAGCTGCGAGGGCGGTGGCGGCGCGGAGCTGCGAAATCGATGGCTACGGCGGCGGCGGCTGCGTGGAGCTGTAAGGGCGGCGGCTACGGCGGCGGCGTGGAGCTGCGAGGGCAGTGGCGGCGGGGAGCTGGTGCGAGGGCGGCAGCTGCGGCATCGGCGGCGCGGAGCTGCGAAATCGACAGCTACGGCGGCGGCGTAGAGCTGCGAGGGCGGCTGCGGTTGCGTGGAGCTGCGAGGGTGGCGGCTGCGGTGGCAGCGTGGAGCCGCGAGGGCGGTGGCGTCGGCGTCGGCGTGGAGCCGCGAGGGCGGTGGCGGCGGGGAGCTGGTGTGAGGGCGGCGACGCTGCGAATCACGAGCTTGCTGCCTCGCTCAGAAGTGGCCGACCTCGCCGGAGCCATACGCGCGGGGAGGAGTCATCCCTATGCGCTCGCGCCGCCACCGCTTGGTCGAGGACGAGGTCGAGCTCAAGCTCTACATCCGCCGCCGCCTCGTTGAGCTTGAGTTCCTCATCCCCAAGCAGCTCGAGTTCCACCGGCGAGCTCGAACATGGAGAAGATGGAGTTATGGAGCTCCTGGAGCCGGCAGGAGAGGTAGACCTTTGAGCTCGTGCTCGCCGGCGGTCGGCACGGAAGGGAAGGCTGGGGATGTGCTTGAGCTCCGTCGCCGCAACGAGTCCCCTGCTCCATGGCCACCGATCTCCTGCTCAGCTCCACCGCTGCTCTCTGTCTGGGAGGAAGAAGGATAGAGAAAGAAAGGGAAGAGGAGATGGGGGAAGAAGTGGCCACTAACGTGTGGCTCTAATTTTTATTTTTAGTTTTATTTGCTGAGTAGACTTCCACATCATTGCCACGTAGATGAAAACCAGCTGAAAAACTACCTGAGGGTGTAAAGTGAACGGTATTGAAAGTTGGAGGGGGTGAAATATCTGGTTTTAAAGTTTTGGGTGTATTTTAGACAACATAAATAGTTGGAGGGTGTAAAATGGACTTATCCCCGCAGACAAACGTCACAAACCATCGTACCGTTTATCAACTTTGACGGACTCTTGACTGATGTGCATATTCCGTTTGATACAGGGTATCAACTTCTGTTTGTAAGCCGATTGATCGCTGACCAGAACAAACAAATTCAGTTTGACGCAAAAGAGAAGGGCACATTTCGTACAATAATATGTAGATCCAGTTTTTTGTTGCTAATAAGAATGTACATCAAAAGAATTAATAGGCGCATTTTCCTTCTTCCAGTAACCAGTTTACCAAATTACTGCTGATTATCCTCCTCAAGTGAAAATTAAACATACCATGATTCCGATTTGCCAATCATAGTTGACAGGAGATTTTTTTTCGCAAACGCACAAAAACCTTGCACGTTAATATATTAGAAGAAAAACAACGTACATCGGTAACACGCCTAAACGATTACAGGGGTAGGCGGTACAGTATGACCATGTCTGCAATCTCCGATTCATGGCACACCTCGAAGATTGACCGGAGATTTGTGATGTTGACTAACACTCGAAGTTTGATGAGCAGAAGAAAATCGCGAACTTGTAATAAATGTTAGTCGATATAGCGGAATGACGACTAACCTTCTCGATCGATTCAGTTATTGATCATCCAAGACACACAAGATAACGACACATGAACACACGATATTTGTTAACGAGGTTCAGCCGAAACCTACATCCCCGAGGCTCTGATTATGGGCGCCCATCCCCAACCAATATAACTCCTAGCCGCTACGAGTCCATGACCTCGCCGCTATCCCCTCCTTACGTGTCTACGTTACATTGTGGTCGCTATAGTTATATTGTGGTGCCCCCCTCTCTATTTAAGAGAGATGTCGGGTTTCAGAGTCCGACTCTAACTTCACCCCCTACCACCTATTACAACTCCAAGTCCAATTATAATCAAATAGGACTAGTATATTCGACACCTATTATATCAGAACTAGTGATTCAAGAGGAGAGAAGAGGAAGGCTGAAGTAATGGAGGGGTACCAAGAGGTGGTAATAGGCCTAATATTTTAGCATACAAAATGTGAGGGTTGGGCAAAAAGAATTAGGCTGAGATTTAATAGATTTTTTATCTAAAAATATTTAAGGGCTGAGGTGGGTTGCAAAAGGGCCAATGAGCACTGGCCCATTACCACCTGAGGTACCTGGGTGAGATGGGGACCATGAGATGACATCGGTGTGAGAAGGAGACGGCGTTGCCCTACCCGAGGTCATATATATGAACCAGACTAAGTGGGCCAGCGACAGAACCTACTCTCCTTACCCTAGTTATGTGGTCGTCCATCGAGCTCATCCCACTTGTTCGCCCGGACACCCGTGGCCCTGCCTCGACGTGAGGGTGAGGAGGCTTGACGGTGAGGAAGACCAATCGCCAGGGACAGTCAGGTGGCGGCGCAACGGAGACTGAACAGTGGCAAGTCGACGATGACCTATGTGATGGATCTGAGCGAGCGTGGGAAGGATGCAAGGGGTCTTGTCACCAATTGGCGAGGTGTTGCGGAGCGAGCGGGGATAGGAAGGGCACAATTTTGATAAATGGAGGCGCAATGATGACCTGGCTGTGGGGGACTGGTGACGCATAACGGCGATCTGCATGTCGAAGTTCGGCGGCGAAGAGTGGATATAGGAGATTAGGTTTTGGGGAAGAGCGATGGGGGTGTGATGGGTGAGGGAGCATGGGTTTTGGAGGAGGGAACCGCAAAACGATGCAGCGAGGTGCGGGTTGCGAGGTATGGACGAGAGATTCAGAGCATTGGATATCAAGATGAACGGTCGAGAATCGGCGTGTGCCAGGATTGGAGTCACCGCCACCACTAAGGTTTCTATAAGTAATATCTCATCCATCCTAAAATATACTCTCTCTGTTCTAGTTCAGTAGTCGTTCTATCAAAGAAATTACAAAATATGGTGTTGTAAAAATGACTAATGTGCCCCTATGTTAATCATTTCAATGCTTAAAAATTGACACTAAACTAATACTGCGTCTGCCATTCTGATATGTCTGCAACAAGCATAAGGAAGAAAATTAATAGAAGTACTCATGCTAGCTAGTGGCTAACCTGCTAGCTGCCCCGGGCCTAAACGACATCCTTTCTGGGACAATGACTCTAGCTACCCCGCAGGGACAACTAAACTGGGATGGAGGGAGTAAGGCACAACCATTTTTTCTCTATGTTTCATAATATAAGGCGTGCATGCATGTACACATTAACTGTCAACTCTTCTTTCTCTAAATTCCTTTATTTTAAATGAGTAAATTTCAGAAAACTATAACCACTACACTGGCCAAGGTCACCTGTGACGGGCCCAAACCCTCATCTTTGACGGCTTCGCGCATGGTCAATGATCAGTGGTCACTGGTGAGTCCAGTCACCTTTGACGGGTGGCCGGCCGTCACAGGTGACACCCACCTCTGACGGGCAAGTTACTAGAAGTCCGTCAGAGGTGTTGGTCTCCGCTAGCCTTGAGCGAGTTAGGACCCGTCACAGGTGACTCATCTCTGACGGCCCTTTAAATAAAGGCCGTCAGAGGTTGAGGTCTCCGTAGTTAGAAGCTGTCACAGGTGATCTACCTGTGACGGCTCCAAAAGTAAAGGCCCGTCACAGGTAGGTCACCTCTGACGGGCCTTTATTTGCTAGTCCGTCACAGGTTATGTTACCTTTGACGGATTTTTGTTCCGACCCGTCACTGATGAGTTAATTCCAGAAAAAAAATAAATGCTAAATATTGGCTAGCCTCAGGATTTGCTAGCCATGCCCTCTGAAAAATAGAAACATCACAGATATATTCCAGTCACAGATCCATCACAGATACATCACCCCCCCAATATAACATCACAGATCCCCAACAACACATATATGCAGTTCAAATGCCACAATTTTGCACAGCAAATTCACACCCCTTGAAAGCCACAATTTCGGTCGTTGCTCATAGAACCGCATATATACTTACCAAATGGATTAAAGCCATAATGTCATCGACCTGCACAACCTGTCAATAAGGAAAAAAAAAAGGAGAAAACAGATGAATAGTACAACATAAATCGTAGTTGATCAAATGTGATGACAATTTAGTAAAGTACCATAAATATTGCACATATGAAAAACATAATTTTTTACATCGCCAGAAATTATAAAAACATCTTTTTTACATCACAATAAATTATCTAGCCAAGTTCATGAGTCTATTTGGCATGAAAACGTCCTTTCTTGTTCATTATTTCTGCAAGAATAAAGGCGCACAATTCGCCTCTGATAGCGGGGGGGTTGATGGGTGAGATCTTCAAGCCAGCTCTACCTTTCTGTTTAATAAATAAGAGGTTAATTAGCACGTTTTGAATAGCAATGTAGATATTGAAATGAGCTTATTCGCCATTAGCAACAACCTCAGGGTCGAAATCTTTCACCTCTCTTACAAGTGTTGACATGTTGTGGCACACGTGGAAACCACATTGGTCTCCGATCTGTTGTGCGCATGCAAACTTGGTGTCATGATAAAGTTCATTCTTGCCCTCCTTGTGCCTACCACCCTTTTCCACATATGGGCCCCAAGCCATATTTAAGGCCTTGGTGATTTCACTGAAATCATAATCTTTGGACTTATTGGAGTTAAGGTAGGTAACCCTACTCCACTTAGGTACGATGACTAGGAGAATCCAATGTCGCCTGCGCAGTGGTTATGTAGCGTTAGTACTAAGAACCTTAACTTCAAAAACAATATACACGAAGGGTATTGTCCTCTTACTCTTGGTTGTGTGCGCACATGATGTACTCCTTGTCTTGATGGGCCCATAAACACCGGTTGACATAGTCAACCACCTCAGTGAAGCTCTGTCGTAAATTAACCTCATTCACCATGGATGGATCAAGGAACCCAACCTGATTACCATGGCGACGACTCTCGATCCAACACAACCTTAAAATATGTACGTATTAGAACTAATTTAATTAGGAGATATAGTCCAGTCATATCACAAGTATAGAAGGTATGCACTTACAAGGAGTAGCATTTTAGAAGACCAGTGTCCAACTTCCGGATCCTGAAAAGGTCGAAGAGGTCATCAAAGCCTAGAGTTATATATACAGGCGACGATAGGAACGGCTGGTGGTCGTGATGTCCAACTATGGATGACTCCCTCATTTTCCGCTTGGCATTGCTTAGCTCCATGTATTGCTTATGTAGCTCTCGGCAAGCAATACCCATCACAGCTAACACATTGTCCTCCACCAATGGCATGCCTAGCTCAAATTGGGCTGGCGCCCTCACGACCTTCCCCGATTTGCTCACCGGCATCGACGTCGCAGCCTTGCCCCTTTTTGGCTCCGGCGCCAACTCCCCGACCTTCCCCTTGCCGCGTTCACGCTTCTGGCCCTTGACAAGTGGTGGGGAGCTATCGGCCTTTCTTGTGGTCTTTATTGGAGCCAAGCTTTGAGCTATATCTGCCAAGTCCATATCAGCTCCACCGGGAGAATGAGGTACTGACAATGCCGGTCCACGGGGAGCCTCAAATGATAGCTTAGACTTGGGAGGTGTAAGCTCCGTCGGTCGACTTGGACGAGGAGTCATCTTCACAACTATGTCTTCTTTGGGCCATTGTATGAACGTCTTGCGCGCATCGCCCAAAGTCATGATTTCATCATTTGGGGGCACGGGCAGCGGATAGCCGGACCAGGTGTCCTTTACTGTATCGATGGACACCTTGGCATACCCAGCTAGCAGGTCTGCGCCGTGGACCTTGTCTGTAACAGAGGGCTTGAAAGCCATGCCCTCAGCGACTTCAGGAGCGAAAGTTGGGTGGACTCTCGCTAGTAGGACACATTGTGCTGCGCCCTGCATAAGGTGAAAGTTTGAATTTAATATTGGAATGTGTACATGTCTTTTATTACATATGGATCGGATAACAACAATTACCTCGATGTGGTCCACTGCAGCTAGTGGTGCGATAGGGAGACCAGGGGCCGGCACCTCTGTGGATGCACAACTACTCCTATGCTGTGACGGACTCGCGTCGTGTTGTACACGAGGAGTTGGTTGCACAGCAGGTGTTGTGACTCGGGGTATATTCATGTCGGCGAGGACCTTGTTAACCCTTTCTTCCACCCTTGCATCCATGCTAGCTTCTAGTTCTTGAATGACCTCAACCTTAAGTTCGGCCTTCAAACGAGCGTCCCTCTCTTCCTTGGAGACTTTCCGTTTCCTGTATTGGGATCTGTACTGAGGGAGTCCATGCTTCCAGGGCACATCGCTACCAATTCCCCGAGTTCGGCCAGGATGTTCTTTGGTTCCGAGCGCCTTTGTGAGGATGTCATCTTCGCGCCTCTTCGGCGCGGACTCAACCTCGCTTTGTGAAGCTTGTTCAGCAACCAAGCCCAACTAGAAAAGAAGATAGTCGTTTATACGAACTTGTACTTTATACGAACGGAAATTAGTTAGGTTAAGTAGTGAACTCACCAGTTCCTGATAGACGACGGCATCACTTTTGTTCTCAAATGTGACAGAGCCGTCCGGGTTGACCTTACCCCTTGCCCGCGCCCAGTTGCGAGCTCTTTGTTCAGGGATGTCTGAAAACGGGGCAGGGACATTCGCTGCTGCAGCGGCTGCATCTTCTTGGGCCCATATTGCCTCCTTGCCGATGTACCCTGCGGTGCCCAGCCGATGCGGGTGCTCATTCCGCTGTTGCAGTACGCGATGTGCCTCGCTTGATTCCCTAAACTGTTGGGTGGTCTTGAGAGAGCAGAATTCCTCCCACACCGCTTCGGTTATTTGAGGGTATTCATCGAACGGCGTATGATTGCCGGGCGGGTTGACAAACTCGGTGAAGAGCTTCGACTTCCAATTCTTCCAAGCTTTGCCCATCTTTTGGAATGCCTTCCGCTTGAGCCTATCCTTTGCTTCGGCTGGAAATGTGAACCATTTCTCCATTGCCGTCCAAGCTCGCTCTTTCTCGGCTTCTGTGACCTTCCCGATATCTTTATGGAGGATCCCGAAGTTCTCACGTGCCGCTATCCCGCAGCAGTTAGACCATCTTCCAATGACAGTCCTGGGCGCCGTGGGCCTACCACTAGCGTCAACCTCTCTTATAACTTGCACTGTGGTCGGCCATATATTATGTGACCGCGGATTTCTACTAGACCTACTTGCACTTGTCCCGCCCGACATCGACGTATGTTGTTCATGCGGCAATTCTGCAGCACAAACAGAAGGCAATATTTGCTAAGGGGTGCTAGCTAAAATTTATGTGGTCATGTGGTGAAAATTTATCCTATAAATTACCATGAATTTCGTGTTGTTGGACCGCCGTTGTCGCGGGATGACCTTCTGCAACTGCCTCTGTGGCTGGGTTTGCTTCTTCCTGGACCCTCGCAGGTGTTGGGGAGGGTGGGTTTGCGCCGGGCGTTGACATGGTTTAACTTTCGCGAAAAAGATTATAAATTTCCTACCATTAGACTAAATAGCATTAGATCCAATGTAATACGGGGTATACTATG